AGCATCGGCAGGCAAAACAATTTAAATTTTGCGCTTCAAATCATTCGGTGTTTGATTGCGTGCAAGATGAGCTTGCCTGCCTCTTCATTTGCCTGATTGCGTCAGCTGGAAATTGGCAGCAACGCCACCAACATTCCCGCCCCAGCAGCTGCACAATGGATATATGTATGTATGTATAAATGGCAGCATTGCCTGGTGTTTATTTAGGCGGCCCACTGTTTCGGCGGCGAAATGCAACTATAAACACTAGAAATACTAGCAACATCATCAGCAACACCAACAGCAACAGCAACTGCAACTGCGGCAACAATCGCATCATCAAGCGTTTGCCGTTGTTGCTATTGAACTTTTGCTATTTTGGCCAAGATTCCCACACACCTGCTGCCAGGTTGTTGCTGGTGTTGCAGTTGCATTTGCCGCTGCTGCTGTTGCTGATGCTGCTGCTGCTGTTGCTGCTGGTAATGTTGTTGTTGCAGCCACCCACTTGCAGCGTGTGAAACGCTGCACAACTTTTTGTTCAAGGCGTGACACGAAATTTGGTTTCAAGTACGTTCGCCCTAATGCAACAATGAGTTACAGTAAATACTCTATAGAGTGAACCAGTATTTGAGTCTAACTAACTTTAATATTTATAGATTTAACATTAAGGTTTCGTATTAAATTTATCAATTCGTTTAAAGCTTTATTGTTCTTTTAGTTTTTATTTGAGATTTAGATTTGATTTCCTAGAGCTATAATGTATTTACATAATTTATTTCATTCACAGTTCACTTTTACCAGTATATACTGTAGCAGTACCCAGGGAATGAGGTAAATGACCGCTGATGGCGGCAAAAAATTGAATTGTTTTGCATAAATTGATGTTTCGCAGTGTTGCCGTTTCAATTTCAGTGCCTCGGTTTTGGTTTCGGTTTCAATTTTTGTTTTTTTCAGCTTTGCTAGGGTTTATTTTCATAGTTTTCTTTAATAAAAGCACCTTTGGCACCACCCTGCCCAGCCCAAGAAGGGAACTAAATTTAAGAAATATAATACAAATTTAATTTATAAAAAATCTGTTCCATAAGGTATATATATTTCCCACAGTGCCCTCCTCTACACTCCCCTCTATTGACCAAGCTTGTGGCTTGCCCACGCGCAACAGCTGCCAAAAGCCAAAGAAAGAAGGCAAAGGAGACTCAAGTGGAGGTGGAGGTGGAGATGGAGCCACAGCTGGCGGCCCAGCTGCCACTTCTTGGAGAGTCTGACTGTGGGAGGAGGCACGGGGTGGATCCCGGGGAGCCGGGGCTCAAAACTGGATTGAATGGGCGCGGCCTCAAAGGCAAGCCATCTGCGGATCATCTCCTCATCTTTGCCACAGCGAAAGTTGCAGCGAAATCTAAACATTGCAGGATTCTAGAGCGTAAAGCAGGGCAATGACTCGAAGCCAGTCAGTATACCCCATGCTACCCTGGAGATCTTCCGATCTCTCGATCTTGTGGGGATTAAGCCACCATCTCACAACCACCTCTTGACTCCGCCAGATAGCGGCCGAGAGTTTAAGTGCTACATTTTTGTGACGGCACTTCTTTGCAATCACATTATTTATGCTTCACCTCGTTTGTATTTTCTGCCATTACTATATCTCGGACATGATAATGATGGCCATAAAGATCATTCTCATTCTGGTAATTAACAAGTTAAATAAAATAAAAGGTTCAACTCATATATCTTTACTTGTTTTGCATACAAACTAGAGTCCCAGAACCTTTAGCCATGGAAGAATGGGTCTTTTAAGAACAATGGCTCTGGGTTTCTTGCGAATTTCTTAAAGATCTTGGCTGGGACACACGCCTTAGCAATTATACCCTAATTAGGGTAGGTACCCTATAAGAAAAGGCTAAAAAAATAATAAAAGCTAAGCAAACGTTTACTTTTCGCTAATTTAGCCACGGTTGCCAGTGGGTTAACTTGGCTAAAAGGCCTATCCTATCCTAAGCCACAAAATGCCAGCCGCCAGTAGAAATCCCAACCAGTCCGAGAGTCGCCGTTGCCGTCGCCATCGCCATCGCCGCCGTCCTTCTGCCCCCCACCCAGAGGAGTCCGTTTTTGTCCGCCAAGTCCGCCTGGCAAAAATGCCATCTGAGGCTAACTGGGCGGCGAGGCGAACTGGTTGCCCAGGCTACAGAGAGAGAAATTCTTTCCTAATCATAATTAAAGATTTGTTTCCTTATTAATTTATTAATATATTTCATAGTCATGTATTTATTAAGAAATGATTAGTAATAGTTTATGGAAAATGGAGTAGAAGCAGTATTAGTTGTATTTTTACTAGCTATATTTCAGCTTTAACTTAAACTTCTGTATTTATTCATTATCTTTATCTAAATCTTTATCTGTTCTATATATATATTTAATATCTTTCAGAAATGTTTAAACCTTTTTTCATTTCAAAATTAACTTTATCCCACAGGCAAAGTAATATTTCAAAGACTATGTTTAAGGGGAATCTCTCTTTAAATAAATTAAGCCCTATACAGATCTATAGATCTATTTAACATATACACAAAAATATATATTGTTTATAATATGCTTAATAAATTTTCATTTAATAAATTAAAAATATATATTTATTAAAAATTTAAGTACATAATTTCATCCGTGTAGTTGCAGCTGGTGGCTTGAATTACAAAAGGAGCCTGGGCAACTGTATTTTTTTTTGCCCCCCTCTTTGCTTTTTATTATAATTTCAATTTTGTGTATCTATGAGATACGCGCAACGTGAATTGGCATTTTCCATTTGGCAATTTGCATGTGCAATGCAAAAATGCAAGAAAACTCAGAGGAAAATCCCCCAAAGAGCCTGGAAAACTGTCCGGGTAATTAAAGCACCATTAACGCCCCATCATCATGGGAATGTCTCGATGGGATTGGGACTGGGTGACGATGACTAGGCCAGGAAATGCAATTAACCCACAAGCCGTGGCCAGCGTCATTCGAAAGTCACCGTCACCGTCTCCATCTCCATCTCCAACCCAGACTCCAAGTCAGTCTCCATCTCCATCTCAGTTTTGGCTTGATTTTCCTTTAGGACTGTATTTAATTTTCCTCCGGGGAAGGAAAGGAAACTAACTTTGTTTGCTGTTCAAAGTGTGCCTGTTATTGTTAATGTTGAATGTTATTGTTATTGTTGCCGACGAAGCCACCACCGCAGGCTCGGGTCGTGGCCAGGTGGCTAGCCAGCTGAGTGAGTGAGTGAGTGAGTGAGTGAGTGAGTGAATGAGTGTGTGTATATGAGTGCGTCTCGAGTGTCCAAATTGCTGGCGGGGATTGCATAAGCCAACTCAGGCTGCAAATGATTAATCAGGCAGCAGACCAATCGGCCAACCAGTTCATCAATCATAACGAGCCACAACTAATACTGATTAAAAATCTACAAATGGGAGGCTTCCTTAAACTATATGACAGAGGAGGAGGCATGGAAAAAGTGTCTTGTAAGGATAATTTTTATATATATTTCTTTTAAATATATTTACGGATAATCAAAGAAAAAGGAAAATAGTGTCTTCCCAGGATAGATTTCAAATTTTTTAACAGAAATTTCCAATTAAATATATTTAAAAATGTTTATAAAGCTACAATCATCACATGAATATAGTTATGTATTTGGCAATTTATTTAAACTATTTATTATATAAATATAAGAAAGAAATATTTCAGTCAATGTAAACTACTCAAAGTCGAAAATTATTTAAGTTTTTAAGTTGTAAGTTTAAGTTTTTCTTCCTTTTTTTATTTATTGATAAAAACATGATCAAAAATCAATTAGGAAACATACAGCCCTCCAAATATTACAATATCCACCTTAATATTTAGTCAGTCACAAAACATATTCTACAAATGAAAGTCCTTAGCCAATTTTTCCTTTCAAAACAAATTTTTCGGAAAATAAAAAATATCATGTACGTATACGTAATATCGCCCCAGCCAACATAGAATATCACGTATACGCACCATTACCCCGGATAAGAATATCGAATCCTTGCATTTGAGTTATTTTATAAATTTAAATATTGTGCATAATTAGGCTAATAAAAACTAACATTGAAAAGCTTTCCGAATTTAAATTAATAGATTTTTGGCTTAGTGAAATATATATTTATATTTGTTTCAATTAAATACTCATTACCACATTCTTATATACAATCAATAAGCCTGATGGATTAATGAGTGACACAAAGGCAACACTGAAACTAAGAACTTTCTTCGCGTTGAACTCTAAAGTATTTAGAGCAAATCAAACACGAAGATTTTTCCACGGCAGCCTCAAAATAATAAAAGAGAATAATAACAAATAACAAAACAGTTGAAGGCCGGTACTGATGACAATTAACGCATTATTTATTAATATCTGAAAATTGTGTCGCCCGTTAAGCGGCTTACAACTTGACGGCTACCAAGACGACAATAATAAAAATAACAAAATAACAAATAACAGAAGAAACCAAGGCATTAAATTACAATTTCAAACGCAAGGGGAGTCAGTACACAAAAGAAAATGTAGAAAATGTATTTAATAAAATACCACTTAAATATATTACTCTACTTAGTAATTTGCTGAGAATTTGATTAACATGAAATAATAAAATGAATTCTTGTATTGTATATGCTTTTATTATCTCATTTTAAATTTAATTTTAGAAAATTCTGTTCATTGATGAATATTTGTATTATAATAAATAAACACTTAAGGGTTTTCTCACTATTTTAATTTATTAATAAAGAAATATAACCATACTTATTTAATGATAAAAGAAGGCTATACATATCTTCAATCTGTTTTGGTAAAGAATACAAACTAGCTGTAACGTAAACTGTTTTCTTGAAACCTAACAAAATGTGTCAAATTTAAAATAACTAATTAATTAAATCCTAAATTGTTATACTCTTTACAGTCCTAGTTTTTTTTCTGTGTACTTTTGTGGTGGTGCAATTCTTCATTGTTGTTTTTATTTGTTTCTTACCTCATTTGCGGTGCGGGCGTCCCAAGAAGAAACCAACAAGAAGAACCAGAAGAATTCTCCACACGAAACTTGGCAATTAGAGCACGGCAACAATAACAACAACAATAACACACACACAACACAAATACACACACCGACGCAGGCTGGCAAAATTCTTGCTGAATCTCGTCGAAACTCGAAATAGCAATAAAAACAACAACAACAAAAATAAAGTCGCACTGCTGCACTTTACACTTTTGTGGCTTGAAGCGCGCTCAGGTGAGACAGGTGCACGAGCGCACTTTCAGCACTTGCAGCCGCTTCGCTCCGCTCCGTTCGAAATGCAAAGTTAACACACTTTTAAAAAAACAAAGAAAAATGCAAGCACCTGCGTTTAAATATTGTTTCGTATATATTACATTTAACTGTAAGCCGGCAAACACGAGCGCGTTTTTATTTCTCCGCGGAAAATGCAGCGAAGAGCGTACAGAGGCTTTTCTGCTGTGGCAGTGTGAAGCTTTCGAGAGACGACAAAAAAGTGAATCGGCGGCAGTAAAAAAGTCGGTTGTCGATGTGACCGGAGCAGCGAAAACCACCACAAAACACCACAGAACCAGTTTTGTGTAGCGTCGCGTTGACTACGATCGACGAGCGACTGTTATTTTCAATTTTTAAAGTATTTATAACTTTTTAGGGTATTATTGTTTTAGTCCAATGCTGCCTAACCAGTGAAGGAGCCATTTCCGACCCTATATATTCTTGATCAGCATTAACAGGCGAATAAATTTAGTCATGTTTGGGAGAAAACAAAGTTTTGCCATTTTTTTTGTCAAATTTATATAAGGGGTTACATCGGCAAAAATTTACAAAAATGTTGGGTTTTTTTCAATTTGAAATGAAGTATACAGATTTGTTAAGCTACTAAAAACTAGCATAGAACTGCTTTCCGAATTAAAATTAATACATTTTTGACTAAGTTATGCATTTTTTAAACTTTGATTTGTCACAAAAAAAATCACATAAAAATTCATATTTCAATAATATTGCTGATGGTTTTATAATTTTAACCAGTGAAGGAATCATTTCCGACCCCATAAATCATATATATTCTTGATCAGGATCAATAGTAGAGTCGATCTAGCCATGTTTGGGAGAAAAAAAAATTTTTTAATTTTTCAAAATTTTAAAAGGGGTTAAATCATTAAATTAAACAAAAAATCGACAAAAAATTATACTTTCAAACATTTTACATTTAATATACAGATTTATTAATCTAATAAAATTAGTACAGAACACCTTTCCGTTTGGAAATAAATGAATTTTTGACTGAGTTATGATCTATTTTCATTGCAAAGGGTATAGACATTTCGGCTTCCCGAACTTAGGGAATTTCAGGAAGTCTGCTTTTAGTAACCTTAATTAAGTTAGCCAATTTTTCCTTTCAAAACAAATTTTTTCGGAAAATAAAAAATATCATGTATACGTATACGTAATATCTCCCCAGCCAACATGGAATATCACGTATACGCACTATTACCCCGGATAAGAAAAACGGATCCTAGCATTTGAGTTATTTTATACATTTAAATATTGTGCATAATAAGGCTAATAAAAACTAACATTGAAAAGCTTTCCGAATTTAAAGTAATAGATTTTTGGCTTAGTTATGATCGATTAAAACTAAAATATTCAAACTTTGGCTTTCCGAAATTAACTTCTTTTCCCGTTTCTATTTTTTGTTCACTGTTAGTATTAACAATTTTATTATTAATTTACAGCACCCTTAGAAGCCTTCAGCTTTTTACAAATATGTAATTTTTGCCAATCGAGCAATATTAAACATATGGAAAGAGTATAAGGACTGTTCTAACAAGGTGTTACGTTACTTTTCAAGGGCTCCCCGTAACCAACCCTATTGATGCCTCCTCTTTTGATTACGTATGCCTTGAAATTGAACTTATTATCGCCAAATTTCTTTATGATTTGATCAGAACAGTTTTTGAGGGCTTTATAGGCCGCCTCCTGGTGAAGATTCGGCTGGAAGTGATCCCGAAGGAGAGTGTCACAGAATTCGGGACGTGATCCATGTACCCCGTATGGTATGGAAGCCGCTGTGCCATTAGAATCAATGCAATGCAACTCGGGACCATTGATGACATCGATGCCACCGATCAGCATTGATATCTGATTATTGGGCTGACTCCGCTTATACCTGGCCAGATTTGTGCGAGAGAAGTGCACCGCTGCCTTGGGGGTCAGGCTGTAACCATTGGATACCTCGAACATGTCCAGTTGCCGGAGAATTTTCTTCTTGAATCGAAGTGATAAGCCATCTGTCAATCCCCCGAACGTTATCATAGTGTGTTGGCCCAGGGGATTCAATATGTCTAAGAATAACATATCATTATGGATATAACTTTTCTTTCATTTAATAATTTGTTATAATTACACTTTTCCTGCATCATTTCCTTATGCTCCGTTGTGGAAGTCGAAGCCATCATGACGAAACCTCTTCCCTTGATAGCCAAAATTAATTCCATTATTAGTTTATGATCTTCAGTAGAATTAATAAATAATTTTTGAAAGCTATCCTGTAGCTCAATATACTTGTATTGAAGTCAGACCAGTTTGACGTACTTATCAATGATGGGAATTTCCAAGAGTTTTGGAACTTAAAAATATGAAATATATAAAATATATATAGAACACGAATAGTCTACATTTTCCGAATTAAGAAACACAGAAATTGTTTAGTAAAGTTGCGAAAGCGTTGTGTGTTTATTCTCATTCATGTTACAAATGCACTCTTGGAGAGTTATAGTAGTACTAGTTTAGCCTGATCTTTACCATCATCTTGCACTTTTGCGGCTCTGCAACTGCACTCTTCGCACTTACATTTACAAGTCAATTGAGAGATTGAGAGATAGAGATAGTTTGAGAGCTAGAGAGATGGGCAAGTAGATAACACAAGTACATAGTTCTCTACATATATATATATATTATATATATGTTTGGTATGTATACAGTATACGACAAAGCGAAAATAAATGTATGTGTATGTATATAAATTTATATTTATATTTTTATATTGTATATATATGTATGTATAGATTTGTAGCGCTGTTGCTAATAGTTTCACATATAAAAATGTTTCCTTTGTTAGACATTTACAACATTTATACCCAAGTGGCAACTATAATACATATAAGTACATTTATATATATATATATTTTTATATATATGTAGATATATAACTCTTTGGATCTTTAAATAGGCATATATAACTGTACGTAGCTGTCTGTTTATGTAGGTATCGATATCGATATCGTTATAGCTATTAGCTTATTAGGGCGCAGTAAAAACTGATGGGCGGGGGAGCATGAATATGGGTTTATAATTCGGAATATCGGAATATATATACCCACTTCCTTAATCCCTGATATAATGAGGCGTGGGTCCTGTGAGTGAGTTTGTTTGTTTGTATGTAATGTGTATGTAGGCTAATAAGCTTCGATAGTGCAGCAAGGTGGCTAGAATTTGTTAGGTTAAGTGTTTGCTTCTCTTTTCGATAATTTCGATATTTTCGATATTTCTCTTAGGTACGCACACTGGTACAAAAGTATGCAAGTATTCGTTTTAAAGGCAGCGCGGGACTACTTGGACACACATATGTATTTTTAGTATAGGCTCTCTATGTGTAAGTTGTTTGTGTACGTGTGTGTGTGTGTGAGTTGACTAATCTTTAATGGTGGTAATCGTGGATTAATGGGCGGCACTGATTTTGTGTTAGTTAACATTCGCTATAAGTTTACATAAGTTTACATTCTTAATATTTATATATATATATATATATAGGTATATATTTTATTTACCGATCTTTATCTATATCTTTTCTCGTTTTAGGGCGGGACAGGTGCTCGCTGATACATCTTTACAATATTCGAAAAGTCGAAAAGTGCTGAGGAACGTGGGGGCGGGGAGCTTGGAGTCAGAGAGAAAAGAGGGAGGAGCATAAGGATGCGGAGGAGGGAGATACGGGGGCTCTAGGTGTGCGGACTAAGAGTGAGAAAGTCTTGACTAAATTTAATGTACAGGACTACGTTGTCTACGCTTCTTCTATATCATCATCATCATCATCATGATCATCATCCTCCACTTTCTCTAAGAGCGCGAAAAAAATATCCTATTTGCGATATCCTTGCAACGCCTGATAACATTGTTCTTCTTGTTGTACTTTCGATAGTTTTTTGCTTTATTTTTGTGCTGGCATGTTGAGCTTTTACTTTGAAATGGTTGCCTGCTGTGCTGGGGACTGCGGGCCAGAGACAGAGAGAGAGAGAGAGAGAGAGACAGATGGAGGGTCCTGCAACACTGCCAGTGTAACCAACATTGTATGTGAAACATCGTTTAACAAGTTAATTCATTTTTTTTAAATTGTATCCATTTTGTAACAGGCTTAAGGTAAATGTCAAAACAACAAAGCTAATCTTAATTGATATGTTCGTTTTAAGCTGAAGCTGAATCGATTTTAAGTTAAAGAGATCTTGTTGAATTTAAATTTATGACAAATAAATCGTATTAGTTATTATATCACCTTAAATCCTAGCCTTACATCGATTTAGTAAAAGCAAATATTTACCAAGATTAATACTGATTACATTTTAAAGATAATAGTTGGCTAATTGAATTGGAAAATTTAATACGTTTACATATCTGCAAGACTCGGCAAATTCAAAACTAAATTTCATAAATTAAACACTTAAATATTAAGTTGGCCACATACTGGCAGATAGGGAGAGAGACAGACAGACTGAGAGTGAAACAGAGAGAGCATGAGATGCAGACGTAGCTGTAAATTAGCCAGGAGGAGGAGGAGGAGAGGAATTCACGGGTTTCGGGTTCAATTTCAGGAACTTCGGGAACTTCTGGAGGGGAGGACGGGATCCTTTGGTAGGGGCAGGGGCTGCGCCTACAGATCAAAATAAAACTCAACAAGCATGGCCTAAAACTGATTGACCTTCAGCTCGTTGCCCTGCAGCTGGACGAGGCGGAAGGCCTCCCGAATGGTGGGCGTCATCAGAAGCTTCAGGTTCTCCTCGGCCTCGCCGGGCAGCGACCGCAGCAGCTCCATGGACGCCACCACCAACTGAGCAAGGGCGGCTCTCTTGTAGTTGGAGTCCTTCAGTATGCTACTCGCCCGCTGCTGTTCAATTTCCGGCGATATGGATTCCGCCTCCGAGGACTTGGCCTGCCGGTTCGTGTCGAACGGATTGCTACGGCACTTGGGCTGGAATTCACTGATAAGCGTCGTCATCGTCACGTTCTCCTCCTCCTGCAGCTGGACGCACTTGCTGGGAGAGGGATTGCTGCAGGAACCGGAACCCGAACCCGAACCGGAGCCCGTATCGGTCATTTCAGCATCGCCATTGCCATTGAGCGAGATGCACATGGGCTTGCTCTGCGGATGATGGTGCAGTGGCGGCGGCTTGTGACGCAGCTTGCCGGAACCAGTCTCGATGTCATGCAGTGCCGAGTTGCTCAGGTAGAGCTCACACACAAGATTCCAGGCATCCTGCAGGCAAAATAAATACCTCACAAAGTTCTCCTTCTTCTTCACCGTGGTTGTATTCAGCCGTGAGCAGGACTCTAGGATAAAGTTGAGGTCCTCCGGACCCAAATTGTACACCACAATATCATTGAGATGCGAATCCACCAGCGCTATATAGTAGATCATCCACGAGGAGGTCATCTGTTTGTAGAGATTAGCAGCGTACTCGATGTTCGATACCTTCTGCATGAGGAACTTCAGGCCGGGCCGTGAGTCGAACTCCAGGGCGGACATCAGGTACTGCTTGACACAGCGCAGCAGGATCTCTTTGGAGCGGAAGTCCAGGTCGTAGTCGTGGCTGGGCGTAGCAGCGGAGGCTGCGTAATTGTCGAAGATGCAGGTGGACACAGCCTGCGGCACGCACTTAAGCCGCGACAGCAGCAGCTTGGCCACCAGCTGGAGCAGCATTTGGTTGGCCAGCAGGCCAACCACCAAATTCTTGAACGGTATCCGGATGACAAAGTTGTCCAAGTTCGAGTTAAAGCCATTGTTCAAAGGGTAGAGCAGGAAGGAGTAACTCCTGTCGTCCGACAGTTTGCACTGCGAGGCACTGGGCATTGGCGTCTGGCCCTGACCCGGCTCCCGTTGATTGTCCGAAAGAAACACCTGCTGCGCCAGCGCATAAATACGGGCCAACTCCTCCAGGCTGCTGTCTCGTCGGGCGGCCACCTTAACGTTGGCACAGTCACCGTAGAAACTGTTGGACTTCTCATGGAAAGCGAACGAGAGCTGGCGCAGTGGGGCTATTGTCACTGTGCAGGCCCGATGGATGGCCGAGCAGGCAATCATCCACTGCGACTCATTGAAGAGCATGCCCGTGGAGAGGATCACATGCTTAAGGCAGGACACTGAGATCCTAGCAATGGCCTCCTGTGACTGTGCCGCACACTCGATCAGGACCAGAAGCAGCTGTTTCAGGGCCAGCGTCGCTGAACCCGAAATTTTTGTGGGCGACTCGATGAGATTGGTACCGCCACCACCGTTAACGCCTCCTGCCGCTCCGCTTTTCTGCTGCTCCTCGCTGGCAGAACTGGAGCTGCTATCGTACTGCTGCCCATAGCCCTGCTGATGATGTTCCTGGACAACTGGAGAGTGCAGTTGCTGTTGCTCCCGCTCGATCCGCTCCGTTACGAACTTTAGCTTCGAGTACAGAAGATTATCCGCCGGATGAACAATCTGCGCCAGTCGCGTCTTCGTGCCTGCTCCCAGACGCCGCTGCTCTGGTACCGACTTCTCGATAAATTCCACCACCAGGTCGGTGGTCATGCAGCAGCAGTGCTTGAAGTTCTTCTCCACTAACTGCCAGGAGGCACCTGTCTTGTTGATGTATCGTAGCCAGTCTTGGATCATCGGTATCAACAGATGGTTGATGCAGTAGAAGCCAAAGTCAATGCCTGGGCTGGCCAGCAGGTTCTTGAATAGCTTGAAGATCGTTTGTAGGATTGGCGCCTGGTGGGAGTAGGGACAGACGATCAGCGAGTTCGTCAGCCCGTCCAGTAGCAGGAACCACACCTTAAGCACTCCCGACGGCTTGTCCATCTCATCGATCTTGACGATGGTGTCCTTGTCAATATGCAGCGACCGGTAGGAGATCATGTACTGCTCGTTCCGCGTCTGCAGATAGTCATTGCCGAAATACGTAAAGTTCTCCATCGAACTGGGTATGTTGGCGTCGATGATGTGCGTATATGAGATGCCCTTGATCTTGTACGTTGAGTGAAAGTTGGGGCACTTGGGCATGCTGTGCATGAAGCCCAAAATACTAGAGCATCGCTCCAGGAAGCGCAACGTCTCGTGCAGAAAGTCCGTGGGACGGAATGTGTTGTCCTCCTCTTGCTGCTGCTGCTGATTAGAGCCACTTCCAGTTGTTCCATTCCCTGCTGATCCACTAGATCCATTGGAGCAGGCATTGTTATTGCCACCGCCAGAGATCTCCAGGTAAGAGAGCAGGCACAGGATGCAGTCTAAGCCAGCATTGGCGAAGACCAGCGTATTGTCAGAGTCAAGGAACACCCGAAAGATATCGATGATGTTGCTCATATTCAGCATCCGGCTTCGGGCATTGCGCAGTGTTCCGAAGAGTGGCCGCCAACCGGAGCGAATCTCGGTGCGGTGAGCCTCCACCACCTCGTATAAACAGGCCACAATCTGATCCTGCACGTCCACATCCGTGTCCATGCTCAGCAGATTCTCGAATGGCTTCAACAGCGCCTCATTGAAATGAAAATAAGGCAGTTCTGACTGCTCCACCAGCAGTGCCGTGATGATGTCGTGGATGTACTCGATTGCTCGCTTTGAGATCATCCTATCGCGATGGCAGGCGGCCTTCAATGAAAAGAAAAAGGAAAAGATAAGTTTGGAATTATATCCACTCGAATATTCATTACTTACATCCATCAGATGCGGTCCCGTAATGGCCCAGACCTTGAGCACGTGCAGCAGCGGGCGAGAGCTGCGAAATACCTTGAGCGTGACATCGCCAATGCGATGGAGGAGCAGCGACATGGGTAGAGAGTCGAGCTTCTTCCAACCCTTGCTGGGCCACCAGATGCGGCTGCCCTTGCGAGCTACCTGGCTCTTATACAACTGCTCTCGGGAGGCACGACACAGGTGCTTAAGGAACTGGCACAACGACGGCAAGCTGAGACGCTCAGCGGCGTCACCAAACAGATTCTCCGCCTGGTGAGACAGGGCGCACAGAACCTTGGAGGTGTCGCTCTGGCTAAGTAGGACCGTCTCATTGGTGCCGGAGTAGACCTTCAGAATGGAGGTAATGTTCGTGTTGGGGCTCTGCATCGGCGCCTGAAGGAAGCTATAAACGTCCACGCTGCGCAGGAGTAGATAAAAACGTTTACAAAGTTTCTAAATTATCCATAGTATCTATAGGTTACCAGGTCTCATCATCGTCAATGGGTATGGACGAGAGGTTGAGCTTGTCCTGGGCATTGCCATTGCTTAGCTTCTCGCCCGTCTCCAAGTCCCGGCGACTGCTGCCCGGTGAAGCCGATATGGCCGGATTCTGCATGCTAAAGATCTCGTGTTCCAGCTGGCTGACATGGCGGCAGACGGCAAAGATGCTTGGCCAGCAGTCGGCGCTGTAGCTACCCAGATTTAGGCCGCCTGTGAGAACCACGTCCATGGACATGGCCTGGCTGGCGGATATGCGGGGTCCGGAAGTTTGACAGACATTCGAGGCCAACAGATTGAGTATCTTGCCGGCCAAATGCTGCAGATTAAGGCTGTTGCTGAGTGTGGCCGCCTGTAATAAAAAAAAGGGGAAAAAAATTAATAAATCAATAATTCTGGAGAGGATGCTAAGTTCAATCCTCACCGAATGCAGTCCATCCAGGCACATGGCGTACAGGGCCTCACCATTCGACTTGTTGGCCTTGGCCTTCACCCGCAGTGTACGCTTGGACAGAGCCACCAGCTTGTTGGAGGCGGAGCTAGTCTGCAGATCGCCCAATCCTGAACTGAGCACGATGACCATTGAGTCCCAGCAGCAGGTGAGCAGGCGACGGCATAGCTTCTTGGCTGCCTCACGGCGCTTGTCGTGCAACTGTTCCTCCTCCTTGTGTTTCACGTTGGCCGTTTGCAATCGTTGCCACTCCGAGAGCATCTGGGTGGCGCCCAGTCCACCCGCATCGCACAGCATGTCCACGAGAGCGCAGCGTGGACCCATACCCTCGAGCTGTTGGCGTGGCATGGCTTCCAGGACGTTGCACACCGTCACCGATTGATACAGTTCGCACAGCCATGAAGAGGAGAGGTAGACGAGGACCCCCGTATTCTGCACAGAGGTCACGAACTGCTGCTCTGACATGGGCACCAGGATATCCTTGTGCGAAGCTCCTTGGGCCACCTGCTCGTAGTATCCCGCCCGCATTAGCTGCAGGCTGAGCAGCAGCGATGAGTAAATGGCCAAGTAAATGCCATCTGCATTAATGGCGGTCAGATTGTAGTCAAAGTCCGAGAAGTTCATGCTGTTCTCCTGGCACACGGCCGATGCGAACTCCTGCATCGCCTCGTCCAGCTCCACACAGCTGCGCAGGCGCAGTAGCTTCGGCACTAGATCCTGCCGCAATGCCCTCGCAAAGTCCCGGGCATGCTGCCGGTCATTGTCGCTGTCCGTCCGTATGGGCATCACGGGAGCCTCCAGGTGCGAGTATGGCCAGCGGTTTTCCACACGCGACGTCTCGTCGCTTGAGCTGCTCGGATCATCGTCCTCGGGTCCCTCGGTGTCCCCGGAACCATTCGAGGCCGCATCCTGCTCATGGGGTGGCTCACCCTCACTCTCAGATCCCGACGACGTTTCGAACACATTCTGCCGGAACTCCACGATGGCGTCCCGATATGGCGCCGGCAGCCGGGCCATGCTCTGGTAGGTCAGCGGGCCGGAGTAGTCTGCATCCTTCAGCAGCTCATGCCGTCCATTAACCACCTGGACAATCTGATCGCTGATCATCGACTCGGTCAGTTCGCCGCTGCAGAGCACCTGCAGGCTGTCCAGCAGGGCCACCATGCATTCTACACTCGCCTGTAGGCTGGCTTCTGTGGCTGTGCCCACTCCATTGGCTCCGTAGGCACACTCCTCCATGGCGTCCACCAAACTGTACCAGGAAATATTTAAATTTTAAGAAATTAATGAAAAGAAAATTATATTTCTCCTATAAAATGTATACACTTACAGCCGGAACAGCGCCATCTCATCGCTACAGCCTTGGGCCGTATTCTTGTCCACATAAAGGATAACGGCTAGATCGATCAGACGCTCAGGACTCTTGAAGATCTCCCTCACGCAGCGCAGTGGCTCTGTGCGATTCTGTGGCGCCGGAAGTAGAAGCATTCGATGAAACAGTGCTTCCAACATGGGACGCAGGGAGCCGTGGGCGCCGGCAATTCGCAGTAGCTGGATAGCGGTCAAGTATACGCAACGGGCCTGAGGTCCATCTAATCCTGGGCCCGTGAAAAAGCCACGTGCCTCGTTCTCGATCATGTGCAGGGCGTCCCTGAGTACAAATTGAAATTTAATATTAACTATGGATTTCAGGATTCGACACCACTCACTTGTATGTAAACTTCTTGTCTAGATTAATCCTTCCGGGTGATCCTAGTGCTGCTGCAAGCGTGGGGCAGAACTTCTGCCAGAGAAAGGAGGTGAAGTGCGGATTCGCGTGCACGTTTCGTGGCAGGGCCGAGCTCAGGGTGAGGATGCACTCGGTGAGGTATAGGGAGCTATGGTTCTCGCACTTCTTGTTCGGTGAGGCATTCACATTAGGCTCTACCAGGCGACTGCAAAGCCACTGCATCACGGGTATCACCTCGTTGTAGACGGCAGAGGCCTGTGTTTGGGTCATCAGACCGGCGGGCGCAGTCTTCTTTACCTCCTCGGCCTCCTCGATGAGGAAGGCGCAAAAGGTACGCAGGCATTGGGAGGCGGCGGCCAGCGAGGCAGCCTTGGTGGCCCGCGAGCCCATCTCCCAGCATTCGCCGCAACGGGACAGGATCTCGATGAGCAGTCGGCCATTCAGAGTGCAGGCCGGAGAACAGGCCATGGCCAGGAAAAGGCGCAGCACATTTACTACGGTATCCTCGCTGCTCGTCGATGGCAGGATGCCGTTGGTGGCTCGCAGCAGCTGGGAGGGCAGCCATACAGAGTCGTCCTCCGGCTCCAGACCGATGTAGAAGCGTTCATCCTTAATGACGCGCTGAAAGTAGATAAAAGGGATCAATATATAATTCACATAACAGAAGAAAAGTGCAAGGGGTTAAAGTAAAGGCGTAGACGGGAAATCAAGGGGAAATTTGATATCGAAAAGAAAAGTTAGGAAGGGAACAAAGAGCACGAACCAGTCAGGAATTATTGATTACCATATGGTTAACCACTCATAAACAAACGTCACTTCCGCTGACCCAATGGGATCCCCAGCAATTAGCCCCGTCCCAATGTCCCACATATTCCCATATGCCACGTCTCATGCTCCACATCCCACAGCCCACATTTCCCATGTCCATTTCCCGTGTCCATTGTCCATTATCCATTGACCAGTGTGTATCTGTGTGTGCACACGGAATGATAAATCCGCTTTGTGTGCCCGGAACTTCCGGCCGGAAAATGTATGTCAGTGGTTGGTTGTGGCCATTGTTGTAAGGTCCACCTCTCCTGGCTCCCGGCTTCTGGTTCACCGTTCTTCTTCCTGCCCGGCCCCGTGGCCTATAATCGCCGTATCCGGCGGTGCACTTACGTGAAGGCCATTGAGTCCCATCGTGATGAACTTGGGCCGCTTGGTGTCCAGCGCCATCTGCAAAGCGGTAAAGCAAACGGAGCGCAGCTCGTGCGACGGATCCCGATGGATGCCATGTTGCCGGTACAGCTTATCTGCAGAGGGAGGAAAACAAATTGAATAAATAATTTTACAACCTTAATAGACTATGTTTAATAAAATTTTTCATTTCACATTACTTGGATAATTCAGATCTAAGTGTATCAACTTCTTTTCTCCGAGTGTAAATCCACGGGCAGAATTAGCGCTAAGTCGCTACGATTAACGATTATCGCCTGAGGACGCAGTATGTAACTAATGTTGGCAGTAAAATCTGCCGCGATAAGCAAACGGATGTGTTGGAGTATGTGCGTGTGTGAAAAGAAAACTCCTCCCGCACAGCGTTGCCTACTCTTCTGCAACGCCAACGCAAAAATAACACAAAGGCCCGGCAACAAAGTCAGAAAGCCAAAAGGAAACAAAGGAAAGATTGAGTTGCGTGGGAGTTGAAATGCCCTGCAGCATTAAAACGACGGTATCTTGAACTTTGTTTGCAGCACAGAGCTATGCAAATATTTTTTGCCGAAAGCAACTTTAAATATTTTGCTTTTTATTCATTAAACACGAAGTACGAATTTCATTTTCTTTAATTTAAATTTCACAGTTCTTTTCCTTTGGAAACCCAAGTGCCGCACCGACAATTGGCAGGGCAGCGTCACAAAGGAAGTGGCAACTAACGGTAAACAACAAACACGGGCCGTGCCAACAAGAACTACGACGTTTGCCGCGACTAAGGAAGGAAGGAAATGGCGTTCTTGCATGCGCCTTTCTTTTTGCACTCCTTCGTTCCCTTGACTTTCTCTCTGTCGCCTGCACTCAGGTGAAAGGAATACCGCACTTGGGGATATGGAAAACTTACCGTAAGCGATTTGCGCCGTTTGCCGCAGCGCATTGTGCTTGGTGCCCGTTGATTCCTTGATTACCAGTAAAAAGAGGTCTTCCATATTGCCGTTCTCTTGCGCTCGCTCTCACTCTCTCTCTCTCCTACTCTCCTTGATTGCTCTGCGTGCGTGTTCGTGTGTCAGTGCTCGCCAAAAATGCCTTGGTTGCGTTGGTGTGGGTGTTTTTGTTGCTGCTTCAGGCAGTTGCGCTCGCTCCCGTTGCTCTTGTTGATGGTGTTTTTGTTGTTCTTGTTGTTGTTTCGCCCTTGCACGACATCACTGGTAATAACAACAACTCAATTAGCGCCGCCTAAAAAATGGGAGTAAAATCAATAGAAAGAGCGAAGCAGTAACGGTAAAAATATGCGTTTGTGCAAATGTGTTTACATACACATGTACAGTCGTGGAAAAATAATTGATACAGCTTAACGAGCTTGTGATTAAAGCTAAATTATTAACTTTCCGTAAAACTTATGCATTCGAATACTAGCTAATTATATTTCTTATTAAAAAAACTACACACTGGTTTTAATTAGATGAAAATATATGCTATAATACCAGAGATATAACTAATTCGCCTAAACACCCCAGTATAGGACTGGGAAATGTTGATAGACGCGTACTGCATTTTTTGTGCAAATATGACAATAAATTAATTAAAATCTTTTTATATTTATATTTTTTATATACTTTTAGATAAATCAACACTTCTATTATGCATTTCAATTATATTAATTCATTACAAAATAAAAAATAAATTGAGTAAGATAAATGTCTTATTTTTACGTCAGCCTTTTACCTGTCTGTATATTGCGAAATGCGCAGACCATATATTTGTTTTTAATACAATTAATTTTTTACTAAAACTTTCATAAAAATATGACTTAATATGGCACATGTTAAACCCCTGTTTTATACATATATACATACTATGTATAATGAGAGGGTATGCGGCCTCTCCTGATTAAATCTTAATAACTAAAATATAAATTAAAAACTAAAACATATATATTTATATTATACCTTCTAAAAATTAAAGCAAATTATGGAGGTTGATTCACCTAATATTATTATATTTTTTTATTTATTATATTAAGTCAATTAAAAATTATGTACTTTAATAATGAATTCATATTATAAGAATGTATGATAGATGCATTTAATTTGTCCAAAAGTTTCTAAATAATATAAATATAAAATTTTTAATTTTCACATTTGTCAAAAAATGTGGTGCGTGTCCATTTACATTTCACTGGCAATTTTCTGAGATTTGACATAGCTTCGTTAATTTAGCAGATAATTTTATAAAATTAAGACCCTAATACAGTATTTTCAATAACAAATAATATTTAGCACTATTTCAATGCATAGGTTTAGCAGATTATTAATTATTAAGCGGAAAATGAAATTTAGTTGGGTGTTACTAATATTTTTTTCCATGACTGTATGTGTTGCCGCCATATGTAACCTAAAAAAAGGTTTAGCAAAATCAGCTTTAAAACGGCAATTTCTTTGAACTTCAAGAGGGATTAAGCCCAAAACATTCTGGAGGATATAGCACCTAATCTTTAGAAAGATGCAGTCCCGATCAAATCAAATTTATCCACGAAATTCGGAGGATCTCAAACGTTTCCTTCTGGAAATTCATATTCATGGCTTACATTACAAAGTAAAACAAAGATTCCCTAACATTTTCATATATTTACATATGTTTATACATATGTATATATGTATAAACATAAGTAAATATCGTTCCGGAGGACTCTATCCGGAGCATAGTTTCCTGAGAGATTCCAAGGGGATCACAACTAAAGAGCCCTCACACAAGCCCACTCGCGAGCATACAGACACACGCACACGCGAGCTCACGCACTCACTCTCTCACTCTCTCACACACATGAGGGAAAGTTACAGAGTGGGGGGCGGGCGAGTGTATTTGTGTGCTGTTTTCGCGTCATGTCACTTTTGCACTTTTCAAAACTTTGCCATTGCAATTTTGCACCTTCGAAAAGTTCAAACAGTGTGTATCCGTTTTCCTTGAAAAACTTTTTTTCGCATTCATACACACACACACAAACCCACGGCACGACAAATACGGACACACAATGCACCCAGGCTGTGCAACGGTGAATTTTCAATTCCACTCCATATGTCAACTTGTTTTTGGAGCTCCTCATGAGTTTTTACCGTTAGAACTTGTGGGATTTACCATTTCCATTGTCGAATACTGCCATAAGGCTTGCTGACTGAACTTTTGAGCAACGCAGACCACCACTTGTGGTTTTTGTTTGCTGCTCCTGCTTACTGTCTCCTACTGTTTTTCACTTTTCCTCTATCCGCTGAGTGGAAAATGTGCTGCACTTGTCGTTAGATGCGACAAATGCTGTGTGACGCGAAACGAAAGCACTTTCTCCATTTACGGAGGAGTGCGCAAAGTACAATACGTACACGAATGCGCATGTCGCCGAAGCCAGCTGTTGTTCGAGTGCCTATCGTCTATCGACAGCTGAAAAAAGCCAGTGTTCAGCCCATTTTGTTTATTCCAAAACATATTGAAGGATTTTTATCCTTACATATACTTAAATACAAAATGAAAAGCTCGAAAACTTTAGAAATAGTTATTCATATTTAACTTACAGGTGCCAGGAAAACGACGATCCTTAAAAAGTTCCTATTAATTGTTTGCAGTCCTCTAAAATCTTGGTAATTCCTGTTGGTTGCTTGACAAATCAATAAACAAAAGGTATTTGGCAGTCACAATTATGACCTTATTTTCCAGGAAACACTGTAAAACAAACAGCTTTTGTTTTGCAAGTTCAGTTTAAACCCCATAGGGGTCTCACAAGATTTTACCTAGCCCATTTCCACAGGTGGTTTGCGTGGCAGATTGCCGGCCCTCTTTCTCTCCCTCTCTTTTTCACTCACTCTCTCACCTCTTTCTATTATTGTCAGATTTTTAAATGCCATTAATTATATTTCGCATTGATTTAAATAGCTTAACTGACATTAAAATTAGGAGAAAAAATAAACAGGACTCAGTTGCATATCAAAAACCATTCTTTGCTCTCATGACATAGAAGACTAAAAAGTGCAAGTGCAGATTCCTCATTTCACCTATTTCACGGGCTTCGATTTCCACAGTCCGTCGTTGAGGAAGTGGTACGTCTCGATACCGATGCCCTTGTTCTTCGCCAGTCTGGGTGATTAGAAAATAAATAAAAATGTAATGTTACGGGTTTGAAATAGTTCATAATCTCCACTCACATTTCTTCTGTAGAGAGTGTGAGCAGTCCGATGGCCAGCGCATGCTCCTTGCCCTCGGCCATAATGGCCACTACAGTGCTCTTGTCTGCCGGTGTCATGCAGGCACCCGGCGATGTCAGGCCCGGACACATAACGTTGGCCCCACTCAAGACGAACCGGATGGCGCCCTTGTCCACTTGCTGCATGGTGACAAAGTAGGGGAACTTGTGCAGCAGCCGCAGCGTGGGCATCCACGGGCCATCGCGGTGGCGGAAGAACACTTGTTCGCCGGCTCCGTTCAGTAGCAGCTCGATGTGGTCATGGCTGCGGATTGAAGATCGGTATTATAGTAAGACACGGAGAGATTGGGATAATGGTACTGTGTATGGGATGACCCCTCCTACCACTTGGCGATGCGGTACGAGTCCTTCTTGGGCAGGATGAGGTCGATGTGTGTTTCTAACTTCGGGTACGCCTCTAGCAACTTGGCTCGGATTCCCTTCTGAACCGACGACTTCAGCTGCTGGATGCTGGAAATGCTGTCTTTTTCCTCGAATCTGTGGATGTTGGACCGGTATCCTCGTTAGTCTGTTCCTGGACAACGGGAGCCCTATTCTTTACATACTTTTTGAACATTTTGCACGATTTCCTCCTCCTTGTGTTTGTTAGCAGTGTTACCAGGTGGCAGTCTCGGAAAATACTCAATCGCCATCATCAGAAATGTAGTATTTTTGTGTGCCCCACAAATATTCTTGCTAACTTAGCTTTTTCAAGCTAGATCTAGCTTAAGTGGGAAAGCTCATAAAAATAGCAGCCAATATTTGTCTTAAATATATTTAATTGTAATGTTCATTTATTTAATTTAAAAAAAATATATGTTTTTTTTTTAGCAATAAAATTAGTTAAGCTTATTTTTCGATTCGTTTAAGTCCTGGGTTGTTTATAATTCGAATACTACCCTTGCTGTGGTTCAACCACGAATTCGAGCTAGTTTTCAATAAAATAAAACACAACAAAATTAATATAAATATTTAAAGTGCAATATCTAGCGGGTTCATTTTATTAATGTTATTAGTATTCTTTTGTTAATCCAAGTTATTTGATTTCATTTGTTTTTATTTCTCAAATATGGATTGGGCAGAATTTGTCATAAAAGTACATGACGCTTAGCATGCCTTCATGCGACCAAAAATTTTGAAAATCGAAAATTAAATAATAAATGAATTAAATTAACAATTTTAAGAAATTAATAATCTTTAGTTTGTTGTTTTTATAGTTCTACCCATGTCCGTTCCCATGCAATCTATAGTATACTTATTCAGTTTTAAAGCTACATTCTTAGCATAGAAGTCGAAATATCCGATTTCGGACGACTATATATTTGTCAATATATTTCGGAAAATTTTTATAAAAAATATACATCATTTTGCCAACTGGTAACAACATACATATTTAAGGAAGGAAATGTTTTTTTTCACTCGTTTTCTGTTACCAGACTCGTTCCTTTTGTATTTTTTCTTTCTCTCTGTCTCCTGCACTCAAGTAAAACGAATATTTGAGCGATTTGCGCCGTTTACCGGTCTCGCTCTCGCTCACTTTAACTCCTACACTCTTGATTGCTCTCAGTTTGTTCCTTGTTTGTGTTGGTGAGAGCGTTTTTGTTGCTGCTTCAGAAAGGAGGATAACTGTTGATGGGAATATTTTCTAAAAATACCTTTGGTTTTATTTTAGCTAATAACATACATACTTAATATGTAGGTAGTTTTTCAATTTAATAACAATTGTCCTGGTTTAAGTACTTGTCGTACGTTAATATTAATACGCGAGTCCACGATGTAGTCCGAAAACGGTTGCCAGAAGCTCAGGTTTCCGACGTGCTCAAATAAATCCATATCCAAGGCATTCAGGTCGCCACCACAGCTATCGTCGAATTCTTTAGACAGATCACAGTTCACGGTTTTATGGTCCTTAAGGATACGCGGTACGGCGTGATAGCACAGTCGGGATTCTCCGGACATTATCAGGACATCGCCACTTTGCAGCAGAAGGGCGGTGGGAGTTTCTTCTAGGCTCCTTCCACCGATCAGGAAAATCGCACTCTGGCCAAAGCTAAACGAAAATAAGGGAGCCGACTGATTCGGCTCCGAATAGTCCACATGACCGGATAAGCTACTGCCGACGGGATAATAGTTAACTATAGCCGCTTCAGGCTTGAAGTCTTCGTAGCCCATTGTGGATGAGAACAGTCTGCACAGCAGGCTCAGATCCTCTGGGAACGGGGAGTGCATGTGATCATCATAGTGCTTAGTGTCCCAGTCGTGATGATAACCGAATGTGGTCCAACGCATGGCCACTTTGGTCCGTTGAAAGTCGTCTTTATGCTGGCACCGATGGAGCTGCTTCCACCAATCCGATCTGACCGTTTCATCGAAGAGCCTCTCATTTAAATTGACAATGTTCGGTGGCCTTGGATAATCCCGCAGGCATCGCGCTATCCAATATCGAAGACCCCTCTCGGTAAAGGGGTTTCGTATAACTAGGATTCCGGGATGATCCCTTAGTTCATAGCATTGCCAAGTGCTCGATGACTTTAGACCGGGGATTGACCGAATATTTTCCTCGTGGCAGGTATTCAAGCGGTGGGCAGTGATTCTGTCATTTCTCAATGGATCATCGAAGTTTAACACGTCGTTAAGGTCCGGGCTACTGCTCTTTGCCTTATATTGCTTAAAAATTAACTTGAACATTTCTTTAGCGAGTTAAAACAGGTAAACAAATGCTGGCAGAGCTCGCAGTTCAGCGCATTTTTTGCTAGATTTGGTATTTTTCTCATTTTTATCGATAATTTTAATATACATAATAAATCTAGCTTGTTTTGGATCTGAACGGTCTGCAATCGCGAAGTCTGATCTGCCAAAAAGGCCAGATTTGGCGGGAAAAAAGCGACAGCCAACGACAGAGAATTCTGTTAATTTACATCTACCCGACAACCAACGAGAGAGAATTCTTTTAATTTACTGTCTTCTGTTAATGAATAGTAATTTCTACATGAGAATTCTACTTCCTACATGGGAATTATACTTCCTACATGAGAATCCTAGCCCAAAAATGAGACTTTCTACCCCATGAATCTGTAAACGTGTAAAATGGTTTTAAAGACGTGTAAGATGTATGATTTTAAATAACAGCTTTCAAATTCAGTGTGACCAAAAAATATATATAAAAAAATATCAAACAAGAATCGCAACATCGAACGCGAAACAACGAAAACAAAAAAATTGTAGACGCTGATCTGTTCTTCTTGAATTTTGCAAATTAAATTAAAAATTGATAGACAACAAAGTTGTTTACATTTGTTTTAGCTGCATACAAGTGCCGCGTTCGTTGTACCGCTTGCGTTACGTATTCAATCAAAAATTCAACATTTATATTTATAAATATATATTCAACAACCCCAAACTAGACGCCAGTCAGCCAATTTTAATGTTTTCTAAATAATATTTTATTTTCTACGCAAAAGTAAGCAGCAATAAGCGACAGCCAAATGGAAACACTTCATCAAAAGGTTCAGCCAGCGGCGGTGCAGGGTGAGTGGCCTTTTTTTTTAGAGTTTGTGAAGAGTTATGGTTAATAAGAATCTTCCCACAGAAGAGACGCCGTCGCCCCTGCCGCTTCCACCGGAAATTACGCCTCTTGAGGTGGTACAGGAATTCGTGGCTGCCGCGAACCGAGGCTCCATTGTCCAGGAACTTTCTGACGATTGCGTTCTTAGCTACTTTGGACGCCACAGCCGTGGGGCAACCGTATCAGCTGGTTTCTTCAGAATGTTTATCTCGACACGCTACCAGCACGAAGGCTTTCAGGAGGCGAATTTCGTCAGTCCCGCCAAGGCGGATATCCTAAAGTTGCGCTTCATGCGGTGCTTCTCCTGGGTGCGTCGACGTATGGTTGAGGAGCGAAAGGTGAGCAAACAGCCCACCTCTCTGCATGTGCGCGCGGAGAGCGATGACGAAGATGAGCAGCTGCCAAGTCGCTGTAGGGCCCAATTGGTTACACCTCCACGTCCAGGCAGCCCCGACCTAGATGAGGTGAAGTTTGTGGAGGCGAACGGTGTACTGCAAAGCCTAAGTACAGAGTTCTTTGACGACGGCTTGGAGTTTGGGAACACCCGTACCTTACAACTTACGCTGGGCTACCGCCAATTGCCGCTGGCTTTCGGCAACAAACGTCACATTGACATCTGCCTGGTCGTCTACGAGAAGTACTCAGTGCCTACGTCATCTGTTCACCTGCCAAGGCGCGGCAGTGCCGCCCGTTGTAATCCACCAACAGACGATGAGGGAGAAGACGATTCTTGTACTAGACGCGGCGCTCGACGTACTCTGTTCGTAGAGTTTCCCAATGAGGAAGAGCTAGAAGCTGTACGAGCAGAAAAGCAACGTAAAGAACCTGAACTGCAGCAGGAGCAGCAGCAGGCGCTGGAACACACCCATGCAAGAGTAGAGGCTATCACTCAAGAGGAATCATCACTTCCCTCCACTCATGAGGAACCGCCATCACCTTCCATTAGCAGCTGCACGCCAAGGAAACGTCATATCGTCTCCAGCGGCGGCGAGGTGAAGCCCAAGCGTACGCCCAGGCTTAATCGACTGCGCTTCTAAATCATCAGCACCTAGACACTTAACACATTTAGTCCCTAGTCTTATTTCCAAATCTGTGTAGCTCAATATTGTGGGAGGCTTATTGCTAACGATATAATATTACCCACGAAGACTGATTGCACCCGTTTGTGTCCCTCATTGTGGGATGCGCTCTCGGGCTAGTATAACCCGAATATGTATTGACTTTACATACATTATCCTTACTTATCTGTTTAATGGTTTATAAATTATCATTTAAGTTATTAATATTTTATATGTAATTAAGATATGTATTCATATTAAAATTCTTGATATATTGTGTTATACGTAGGTATGTATTTATGTATTATGATCTATGTATTATGCGTGGTAATCTGCATAACTGTAAAATCGATGTTTTTATACTCTGCGGGGTGTTACAATTTAAGTCAAAAGCTTGTAACAAAGTGAAGGAGTCAATTCCGACCCTATAAACCACATATATTCTTAATCAGCATCAAAGGGGAAATCGATTTAGCCATATCAGGCACAACAAAATTTTAAGGAATTTTTTTTTTAATTTTTATAAGGGGTTACATCGTTAAATATTTCAAAAATTGGCAACAAAATTTTAATTTTTAAACTGAGTATGCAGATTTATAAGCCAAATAAAAACTAACAAAGGAAAACTTTCCAATCAATGCTATTTTGGCTTAGTTATGTTTCTTTTAAAATTTGTTTTGTCGACAAAATTGTCATAAAAAATCATTCAAGGAATGAATATTTTAAGCTTAGGAATGTCGATTTTTGACCAAATTTTATTATTCAAAATTAATAATTAATTAATTATTATAATTAATTTGAAAATTTGAATATTAGCGGCAATATGACCGTACAAAAACGCAGGATTTGCCATTTTTATGATACCGTGCAACGGCCACACAACGAGTTTGTTTGTTTTTTGATCTGGTTTTGAACTCCTCGCTTTGGATTGGATTTCCGATTCCCCGGTCCGGCCTGATCCGAATCCGAGTCCGTGAAGATGCGACTGTGCCCGCTGGCCATACTCCTGCTCGGCTGCCTGCACGCCCTGCTGGCCTGCAACCACTGGGTGCTGCGCGAGGAGCAGATCATGCCGAAACTGGACTCGCCCTTCCACATGCGCGAGCCGCACAATTTGGCGGCCTTTCTGGAGCAGATCCGGTACAGTGAGTACGTGGAGCGTTCGTATCTCGACCTGTTGCGGAAGCGGGAGCAGATTGTGGAGCATCTGCGATTCTCCATGCGTTTTGGTGAGGACCTGGCCGAGCAGGCTAAGTGCGCCATGGACTACTACATGCTGGAGAAGCGTATGTCCTATCTGAAGATCACCCCCGAGCAGCTGAAGCGTATCAATCTACCAGACCAGCGGGAGCTGCACATCCAGCAGAGCACCTCGACGACGGTAGGCAAGGAGCCGGTGTGCAGTGATTATCACCGCATGACCGTCGGTCCGGCCATGTACGATCACCTGGAGAGCTTCCGGCCGGAGGTATTGGCCGCCGCTTATGTGGATCGAGAACATGACACCAATGTGGGCACGGCCACCGTTGAGCTGACCCGCCGCTTTGCGGTGGACGGGCTGAAGCATCATCCGTCGTCGTGGAAGTTTCACACTCTGAGCTCCTACTACTGGCGGATGCGGGGCAATGCAAGAGAGGCCCTACTCTGCGCTCGTTTGGCCGCCCTGCTGGCTCCGCCTATCTTCAAGGACATACCGCTGCTAAGCTTGGGAACCATACTCTTCCGGATGGGGCGACTGGCCGATGCGGACCTCATACTGACCGCAGCCGTTGAGCATGCTCCGATGGTGGCCGAGAACCACGTGGTGCTCGCCTCTGCGCTGGCCATGAAGCATGACTTTAACCGCTCGTTGCAACACTTCGACGAGGCGGAACGACTTGATCCCAGCACGCTGCCACGCACGCAGCAGGTGCGAAACTTCATCAGCTGTTTGGAGAATCTCACCAAGAAGACCTCCAAGATGTACAGCTACGTGAAGTACATGAAGAACGAGGTGAAGGAGTTCAAGAAGTTGAAGCATCACATCTCACAGAGCCACGAGCGCCTGATCCAGCAGCAGTTGCCGCTGGGAGCACGCCGCCTGCTTGGACTCGATCCGCAGAACGGCAACGATGACCTCCATCGGCGTGGCCAGTACTGCAGCACCAGGACGCCCAGCGGATCCGATGAGCCGGTGCTCTTCTGCGACTTTTACTCGGACATGCAGATGCGGCTGGAGAGCAAGGATGTGGACATTGATGTGCTGGAGCGGGACCTCAAGGCCAATACGGATGCGGTCATCCGGCAGGTGTCCAGCGAGATACGCAAACAGTTCAACCTGGAGCAGCTAAAGGCCGCCAAGGCCCAGATGCCAGCCAAGGCTGTCAAGGCAACGTAAGCTCATGTAACCTAGGTGAACTGGCACATTCCCCAAAAACTTAAGATGAACACTTCGGGTCACAAATAAGCTTTTATTTTTAATCTGTTTATAGTTCTTAAGGTCTGTCAGCGAGCGATGTGTGCGTGCAAGTATGTGTGTATATATATTAACCGAGTTACCATATAAGTCTTCAGGAATAGCTTAATCGGACCTAGTTTTAGGCTAAGCTGTGAAAAAGTAAGGGATGTTAGGCCGGTTGCTAGTTGAAGATACTGATTTCCCAAGTTCCATTAACTAATTTAATGTTTATGTTTCGATTTCCTATTTACAAATCTTTTTATTTAACAACATAAACTTTAGTTATGTCTGAAAAAATTACAATTGCTAAGATCAGATATGTATTCTTGAATTAAATTCAACTTTAAACTTTAATCAAAACAGCAATCGGTCTAAAATAGTCAAAATACTTGTTTTAATCTGTAAACTAATCTGGAAACGCAACTAAATTAGTTGTGTGTTTTCCAGTAAAATGGCACTGTGTTTCGCTTCTTCCCAATCCCAAATCCGTAGAGTCGTATTACAGATATATACAAAATAACTTTAGTTTTTAACAATTAACGATACACATCTGTTCTGTTTCTTATTTGTTAACAAATCTATAATTAATAAATAATAAGAACAGCCAAGAGCTCTAGTTGAAGAACAACAAACAGCCATGCGTTGAGTCAACGAGGAAAACGAGTGGTCACCACTGGATCTCCTGGGTGTCCAGGGCTTGCAGCAGCAAGGATACACTGGCAAAGGTGTGCCTGCTGTCGCTGTCTGTCCTTTCTTCATCGTCCACCAATAATCCACTCCAGCCACTGTTGCGTGCGCCTACATAGTCCATGTCAAGTTTGTTGCCTATGTGCAGGGCTTGCTCGGCCGGGATGCTCATCCGCTGCAGGGCTTTGTTGAAGATGCGACTATCCGGCTTCATAACGCCCGCCTCGTAGGAGGTCAGCACGAAATCGAACTTGCCGGCATAACCCATGGCGGCCAGGACCTGCGACAGCGATGGATCAAAGTTTGAGATGACGCCCACACACTTGCCGGCCGCACGAACGTGCTGGACAAGCTCCCGGGCTCCCTCGATATGGGTCCAACAGGCGTTTGTTCGAAAATGGGAAATCAGGCAGTGGCCAATCTTTGCCAGCTGCTCCGGCGTCAGTCGATCATCTACGCAGGTAAAAGTGCGCGACACCAACTGCATCCACCACTGCTGCCAGTCCAAATCCGGCGACTGGCTCCCAAAGTTCGGATGCTCGCGACTCAACGCGGAGAACTGCTGGCGGAAACAGCGCTCCAACTGGCCACGGTCCACGCCAGTGACACCGCAGTCCGCCGCCTTTTGCTGGTAGTGTCGCATCGGCTCCTCCAGCCGGAGCAGGGTGTCCGTTACGTCGAATGTCACCAGGCGAAAGCGTTTTAAATTTTGCACAAATTGCGAAGTCAACGACATTTTTGCCGCCAGTGTGACCAGTCGTAGCGAATGTATTTTCTTGATATCTGTGAGTATTTTCAACGCTGAAAGCTCTTTCGTAAAAATACCAAACTTATTCCTTCCACACACTGTGTGTATTTGTTGGGATTTGCGGGCTGCCCTGCCAGCAGTCACACTGAACGAAAATAATTTTGTTATTGCCAACAACAAATTTTTGTTGTTAAATGGAAGAGCCAACAGCAGACGCTCCGCGCTTCGTTCCAATCCACCTGACAGCCAGCAGCCACAGCGGCAGTTAATACCGCGGAGCTGCCAGCGCCGTCCCTTGCACACAGTCGATCGGAGCAAATCCCGGGGACGCGAGCGCGATCTATTTTGGCCAGCAGAGTTACGTGAACGTCATCGGATTTCGGGCTCGGATTCGCGGATTTGCGGTTGGCAGGCAATGCAACAATGAACGTCCGAAAGCGGCCACGTCTGGAGCTGGAGCTGAACTCTGCTTCTGCATCCGCTGCTCCACCTGCCCTGCTCACAACGACCGCTCACACAGCGGACCTGTCCGAGGCCTTGCTCAGCAGCAGCACGTTCGGCAGTGGCAGCGGCGGCCAGAGCCTGATCCTCACCAGCGCTGGCAATGCCCTGCTTAATAGCAGCAGTGGAGCGCAGATATTCCTCACTATCTGCGGCGATGAGAACTCAGAGGATGGCGACGAGTCGCAGGAATATTATGCCATTAAGCAGGAGCCCGGCTCCGATCTGGATGTACATACGCTGCTGCCCACCAACCTGCAGCTGCCCACGGGCTGTGAAATCTACCTGGTGAAGGATACCAGCCTGGCCAGCCAGCCGAAGACCTCCATTAAGTTAGAGCCAGAGCTGCTTAGTGAAAAGATGGTAGCCTCTAGACCAGTGACGTTGTCGGTGGCAGCAACACCAGCACCTGTAGCAGCTACAGCACCAGCTTCCTCCGCCACCAGCGTGCTATATGGCCAGACACAGCGATCCGTGCCAGAAGTTTTGAATGCCGCCACATCTGTCAACGCCTCCATCGTCCCTACAACACCTGCCAGTAAGCTGGATGCGTACAAGAAGCGCGACGACAAGCGCCGTGCTACACACAACGAAGTGGAGCGTCGACGTCGCGACAAGATAAACAGCTGGATCTTTAAGCTAAAGGAGATGCTGCCTAGCCTGAGCTCCAACGGCTTGAGCACCGGTGAGATCAGTCCGAGTCCCAGCACCAGCACCAGTACCAGCACAAGCTGCAGCGCCAAAAGCAATCTAAATCCGAATCCAAATCCGAGCCCCAGCGGACGGACGCCGCCCAACGACTCCAAGTCGCAGATCCTAATCAAGGCGTGCGAGTACATTAAGAGCATGCAGGGCGAGATTGACACGTAAGTAGATGTCTTTATTAAAAGGGAAAATGGTTAACCAGATTGCATTTTGAGTCTCCACAACGGATTTCAGGTTCCAAGTACCAAAGAGAGGTGTATCTTCTTAGCATTTCAGTTATATGTAGAGCCTGGTATGGCATTCTTTAAGCTTGCAAAGCAGTATCCACGACTCAGTTTCCCTCCGCCTGGTTTCTGTATTCCGTCTGGCTTATTGGGACTGTAGGGCTCAAATTTCTTATACAATTTACAATTTAAAGCTGATAAGCATTTAGTTATTTATCTATAGTTTCCTTTGCCAGGCCTTTTCATGTTCAGCACAAAAAAATGCGAGGCTTGGTAAGCTAATGTAAATAAAACAAGAAATAATCCGATAGTTGTGGAAATGATTCATGCATAAAATACCCTCGGGTTCCCATTTTCCCCCACATTTTTAAGCCAAGCTCAGATTGTTTTCTTATTAAAAACAACAAATCTCTCCCCTTACCATAGGCTTCGCGACTGCTTGCGGGAGGCGGATGGCCTGAGGGCCAGCAACCAGGCGCTGCGCGAGGAACTGGATCGTCTGAAGCGGCAGCAGCAAATGCAGGAACGTTTCCACACAGCTGCCAGCACTCGGAGCACCTTTAATGTTACGCTCAACTCGCTGAATAGCTCGGCAACCAGTGATCTGTTCGAGGGCATTGATACGACGCCCAATCTGGCCGCTGTCTCGTCGCTGGGATTTGGCAAGCGTGGACTGCTCATAAGTGATTATGATGAGTAAGGATGGATGGATGGATGGATGATAGGAGGAGGCCAAGGAAAGGAGGCGTAGGCGAAGGGCGGATGGTGGAGCGCTGGCGCCTCGATAAACAAACAAAAAAACGCCCATCCACCAAAGAATGACGTGCAACGTACACGCAACGCAACACACGCAGTACAATAAACGGATATGACGAGAGGGAGATTTCTTGTTATCGCCGCCGCTGTTATATACATGTTATATATATATATACATGCCTACACATATGTGAGTATGTTTGAGAATATGCAGTCGATCTTGGGTGACTCAAAAGCCATGTTTCTGTTGAAAGCTGGTTCTCTCTCAATTGAGTTCAATTAACATGCCACCAGCTGCTTTTGCCTGCTATTTGATATTGGTATTGGCATTATTGGTATTCCAAAACCGAATCAATGAAAATAGCGATCAAAAAAATGTACGATCAATGGCAAGGTGCTGTGCCTGGTATGGTATGTGTCCATTGCTTCCTATTAAATTCGATCCAGGGGTTCGGTTTAAGATCACAAAGAAAGAATAGTTGCTAATATGAAGAAGCTTTAGAAAGCATTTTTGAGTTATTTTTTATACCTTTTGTTAAGATATAAACTGGTTTTAAGATTGCAAAGCGAACTAATTTTTTATTATTATTATATATTTTTATATGTTGAACATTAACTCACAAACCGTAGCCAAAATACCATTTCTTTTTTTATTATTATAAATAATAGCAAACTTATATTTAGTTTAAGGAGTTTTGAGTGACGAAAGTTCGACTGCGAATTTATGAAATAGATGTTGATTCTTTATTTTTTGTTTTTTTTTTTTTGTATCTCTGAGAGATCCTCATGCAGTTTGCCATCTTTATATATATATATATTTAACTACATATTACCTAGACGTATATAGCTTAACTAAAGCGTTAAAAGAAGCGTTAACGATAACGATACCTACCTAATTGCATAAATACCTTGAACTAATTCATATTTGGGAGCATATATTTATGCTTGTTTTTTCGATTTTATTGTACTGTTTCTCGCACTAATTACCTACAGGATAATGTAACGAAATTATATGATATACCTAGTTATATATATCTTATATATATTATATATATATATGGACATGTGTACATAAGTAGAGCAACCGAGCTCCCCCCAAAGGCGACGTTCGACCGTGACCTTGACCGCAATGATGATGACGAGATGTTGACGAAATATGTTGAGGTGGGGAGAAAAGGGGGAAAAAATATAAGAATATATTATTATATTTGAGCATAAATTGTTGTGAATGTTATATCACTGTTTTCGATATACACGCTGTTTCAGAAGTATACAGTAAAAACGTTTTATATAAATACATAAGTTAAATAGCAAAACAAAAACACAAAGATAAACCATACATAAGTACGATATATATATATATATATGTATATATATATATATACATATATATATATACATATATATATATATATATAAATTTGTAATAACTAAAAATGAGAATGCCAAAAAAACACACACAAAGAGTAACAAATATGAATCGATCGGAGAGAATCCGTTGAAAGATTTTGTGAGGGTACGAGAGGAATTGCATTGTTTGACCCATATATCGCACCGATAATAATGGGTATTTGTGTTACTTGTTGCTATCTATATACAGTACATACAAAATAATATCACATTTCTGTCATTTGACAGCTAATTCTATTCAATTTCAATAAACGAACTCAATAATGGTTAACACGGAACGCACACAATTGGCTTTCCATTTAATCTGGAATGTGGAATGCGGGTTCCACATCTTAATGGTGATGATGGTTTATTTTCTCAGCTGCAACTGGAGGAGTGCCATGAGCTCGAACACATTTTTCAGCTTGCCAAAGCAAATACATATTGTACATATATGTTGATAATAATAATTTCCTTATCAAGTTGGGCTTGGAGCTCTTGGGTAATAATACCATTTATACTTATTAAACATTACAATCATTGCTTTTCTAGGGTTTGTGTTTATTTCATATTTCGTATTATCATTTAAAAAAATATTTATTTACATTTAAAACTAATCTTCCCCTGCTACATTTAAGAATTTTAGCATTTACATTTCACTTCCAAAATATCAACCCTCCCTTTATTAGCATTTATACATGGACAAACGATTTTGTAAAGGAAACCATCAATAGTTGATGGCATCTATCCAAAAATAAGATATGTGTAAATATTTAAAGTTTGTAAGACAAATCCCTTAGGCCTTTAGCTTTCGGGCATAGTCGCCAAGATGCAGCAAGCCATGCGCCAAGGATGTTATGTGCAGATTCGCACCAGTCATATAATACACATTGATGTGGGCATTCTGCAGCTCCGAGATGAGAGTGGAGCAAGCGGCCGCCGGATCTCCAGTGCTTACCAGCATTTTCTGCAATGAAACCAATTTTATATTAAAGAACAACAGCTAAGAAGCTAGTTCTCAAGACTCTTACCGCCCAGAACTCATTGCCAGGCAGAGCATTGCCATCCCAGGCATAGGTAACCACTGGCAGCATGTCCTCCTCAAGTTTTTCGGCAGGATTCCGAGCCGAATTGCGTATTTGAATGCCACCCTGGGGATGATTCTTCAGGGGCAGCAGGGCGCCATCGTAAAGACCTCCCACTCGCGGTAGATGGAACCAGGAGAAGTGCACCACACCGATGTGGTTGAGTTGCTCGCCAAGCGCCAACAGACGCTCCTCAAAGGCCTCGAAAAAGGTGCGCTCCTGCTGGCCGGACACCTTCCACACACCCAGACCAATGCCCACCACATGGATGTAGGCGGGTTTGCCCACAGCGGCCGCTCGGGCCTGTGCCTCCAGCAGCAGAGTATCGAAGGTGATGGCAAACCGTTTGCGCATCACCTGATGATCGAAGTAGCCTCCAGATACCATCTCGAAACGACCATCGTTCGAGGGAAACTTTTGGTAAAGGAAGTCTGTTGGTTCCTCGTAGAACTCACGCCAAACTCGACGTAGATCAGCCGCCGGGTCACCGGAGTAGTTAGTGCCGCCTCCATATCCCTTTGCTAGCGTGTTCTGTGTCTGTGTTATCATAATGTCCTGGTACTCCATAACTCCGGGACGCTCGAAACGGGCTCCGATGAGTCCTATAATCACACCTTCGCGCTCGATTAAGCTCTTGTCCTGGGTCACCTCACCGGCATTGGCCCGATGTCCATTGTTGATGAACTCCGAGTGGCTAGAAACGTAAAGCAGGGCAGCCAGTTTGATCTCATCATAGCTGAGGACAGAGGCTAGCTGCAGGGGATACTGCTCGGCGGGAGTGCCCACCGTTTCGAAACCCTCGTGACCGGTTTGACCATCCATTGTGCAATAAAAGTCGCTGTCTCCAAAGAACCAAACGCATCGCTTGGTGAGCAGACGCTGCACGAAGTCCACCAGCGACATGTCCTTGTAGATACTCTTCTCCTGCTCGCTACCTGTGGCAATTTGATAATAATGTTAAATTTATTTTATATTTAAACAAATTTGAATGGTTTAATATGAACAAGAGAATGGGGAGGGGTTCGTGGCAAGTCTGTAAAGATTCTTTTGGTTGAAAGGACTTTCCAAAATATAGAAATTAAATACAATATATATATAATTCTTGGAAAGCTTAATGACTTACCATATTTTAGCTTGTGCTCAAGAAAATTAATGTACAGAATGAGGGTCCTCTCATGAATCACCGGATAGGCAGAAGCTATCTGATCCCGGATGATCTTTCTGCGATCCGCTGGCTGCGTCTTCACCCGGCATGTATCCGTACCGAACTATGGAGCACAGTAAAGACGATAAGACCAGGTGAACTGGGAAAGACAGGCTTACCTTGGGAGAAAAACAATCCGAGATAGCTTCGAATTCGCTTAAATCCAGTGTAAATTTCGGTTTCTCCAATTGGCGGCATTGCTCCAACATTCGCTGAGTAAAATCAGTGGCCGTAAAAGCAGGACTAGCCACGGGCCAAGAAGATGGCTTAAAGCTACTATCACCCATGATGATGCTCCGGCTTAACGTCAGCAACTGAAGAAATGATCTCAGCAGATTTCTTTGAACTCCCGTAATCAGCATACAAAAAATAAAATATATTGACGTGCGCCGGTGGGAATAAATGGGAGCAGTGTTGCGAAACGATTGCAATAAGTAAAATACTAGGTTTCTACTGGAAGTTTACTAAAAAGCCTTGTCCTATTCAGTATATAACAGTTGACAGAAAACGGTCAACTATACTGTTTAACTTGTTTTATTAAAGGGTTTTTGTTTAATTAGATTTTACTTTGCCTAGTAGCAATATTTGATCAGCTTTATTCGAATATTTGTTTTATAGACAGAAAAGAACTTTAATTTGCTACATATACATCTTATTTAGATGTATTTATTGTTGCAAATACCATATATTATATGGAAATGCTACGCCAACCATTAATATTCCGTTCCTTACTTAAAGTTTGATAAGATAAGTTACATCTTGTTCCATATTTAGATGGTAAACAAATACAAACAGCACTCAACAAACCAATAGTTACTTTTTACAAGGTATTTTATTTTAATTACAAAAGGATTTTCTTCGTTTAAATTAATCTGAGACTTCAACACCTCACACGTACGCACATACACACACACACACACACCTTACCCCTGTGAGTGTGGTGTGTCTCTCCTCCATTCTCCATTCATTGCTCCTTTTTTCTAAACCTTCGAGCTCTCTGGCCTTAAACGACTCGCTTAACCTCGAAGAAGCGCTTCAGGTAATACACCTGGCCAACTGTCATGAGGACCAGCACCAGGGCCTCAAACGTGGACCACAGAACGACGCGGGAGTTGGTGCTCTCGTTCACCGAGCGATGGATCTTGTCGCGGACCTGGAAAATTGAGAGTACCGAGCGAGGGATTAGAGAACCGATCTTAGCCATGTGGCATTTGGCAAAGGCTGGGCTCTGTGCACTCACATGCATGTACTCCTGCTCGTGCTTAACGCTGGTCAGCGTGCCTGAGAGCTCACGGATCATGTCCTCCAGCTTGGTGTGGCCCACCTCCTCCTCGCCAGGTGCACCTGGAGCGCGCTGAGGTGCCTCGCCAACATCGATCGAGAACATGACCAGCTTGGGTGTCATGCTGCTGCGCTCGTTGTTGAAGCAAACAGTGTAGGTACCCTTGGCCGGGGCCACAAACGTGTACTTGCCGGAGGACTCCTTTTCGCTCTCGTGCATCACATGGTTGTCGGGACCGGTGATTTTGATGTCCACGTCCAGGAAACCGCCGTCAATCACCTCAAAGGTGACGCCTGTCAATAAAACCGGGCTACGTCAGTGGAAACTCTTGGTAATCCCCACCATTCGCTTACCGAACTTGGTGCCGCCTTCGACATTCTCAAAGAAGCACTCCTCGTTGTGGGCATCCACGCTAACGATAAAGCCCTCGCCGATGCGGCACAGCAGCAGGAAGCTGCCCAGGAATAGCAGCAGCTTGGTGAGCATTCCTTCCATTGTGTTTGTCGGTTTTTCTGACCTAAAATTTGATTATTTTGTGAACGAGCGCAGCCACGTAGTTGTCGAGTTGTTTCGTGAAATGGTGTGGCCGTAGTGTTGTGTTGGCACAATAGCGTCCGGGTCCGACAATAGCGCTGGGATTTTTAGCCAACTGTCAGTTGGTTTTACTAATTTATTAAACCGTCATACGACAATAAGCTATGTTGTAGCTATGAAAATAATAAATTTAAAATAAGTAAGCTTATTGTTAAACGCAGACAATTATTGTTTTTTAAAGATAATCTTTAAGATGTATTAAAATTAATTAAGCAATATTTTAACTTTAAGAAAACTTGTTTTTGTACCAATATAGGTTCAAGTTTTCCCCCCACTGTACCAAACTCGCCGTATAACAGTTTAGAAAGCCTAGTGTGGCCACGTACAAGTGATTTTGTTGTAACGAACAAGCGGTCACACTCCGTAAATTTTTTTGCAAAAAAAACTTTGTTTCTTTTCCCCAGAAGAAATTCGTGGCAAGCTGAGTGTCCCGGCAGTGTCACGCAGAAATTACGGACTCCAGGCAGCAGGTAGCCCTCAGCGGATTGCAGGTTTCACCGGGGACGCCACCGCCAAGGACTGTGCCAGCTCAGTTCGCTTCTCGCACGCCCACGCAGGCGAAAGAAGAGGAAGACACAACAGCAGCAGCAGGAGAAGAAGCGGAGCAGCAGGTCAAGTGGGGAAAGTAAGGAAAGTGGAAAAGTTGGAAAGCGAGAAACAGTAGGTGCCATCACCATCCAGGATGCAGCAGAACGCGGCCAGCAATCCGTTTGCCATGTCCTCGTACGTGGAACGGGCGCAGATGGGCCTGGATGTGGAGTTTGGCGCGGATCCCGCCAGCGGTGCAGCCTTCTTCCAGAGCGACGGGCGCAAGCACGATGACCTGAAGCAGATGCTGGACAGCAACAAGGATGGCCTGAAGCTGGAGGCAATGAAGCGCATTATTGGCATGATAGCCCGCGGACGCGATGCCAGCGATCTGTTTCCCGCCGTGGTCAAGAATGTGGTATCCAAAAATATCGAGGTGAAGAAGCTGGTGTACGTGTACCTAGTGCGCTATGCCGAGGAGCAGCAAGACCTGGCCCTGCTCTCCATCTCCACGTTCCAGCGGGCTCTCAAGGATCCCAATCAATTGATTCGGGCCTCTGCGCTGCGCGTCCTCTCCTCGATCCGGGTAAGCATGATTGTGCCCATCGTAATGCTGGCCATAAGGGACAGTGCCGCCGACCTGAGTCCCTATGTGCGCAAAACAGCGGCACATGCCATCCCCAAGCTGTATTCCCTGGACGCGGAGCAAAAGGACGAGCTAGTAATGGTGATTGAGAAGCTGTTGTCGGATCGCACCACTCTAGTGGTGGGCTCGGCGGTGATGGCCTTCGACGAGGTCTGTCCGGAGCGTGTGGATTTGATTCACAAGAACTACCGCAAGCTATGCAATCTCCTGGTGGACGTGGACGAATGGGGCCAGGTGATTATCATCAATATGCTCACCCGCTATGCGCGCACCCAGTTTGTGGATCCCAATGCCGACGATGATCTGGCAGATGGCGTCCTAAGCGATGGTCCACCCAATGAGCGCTTCTACGATGAATCTTCGCACTCTTCAACCTCCAACAGCGATGATGGCACCAGCGACGATGAGGCAAAGAACAAGTCGCGAGCAAACAACGGTGGAGGAGGAGGAGCAGGAGCAGGCAGTAACAACAACAATGGCGGAGGCAGTCGAACTCCAAGTTCACCGGCTAGCAGTTACCACATCGATGTGGATCACCGATTGCTGTTGCGGCAAACAAAACCCCTGCTGCAGTCACGCAATGCCTCCGTGGTCATGGCCGTGGCCCAGCTGTATCATCATGTCGCGCCCAAGAATGAGGTGCAGCTGATAGCCAAGGCCCTCATTCGGCTGCTGCGTTCGCACAAGGAGGTGCAGAGTGTGGTGCTTAACTGCATTGCCTCGATGTCCACCAAGCGAAAGGCAATCTTTGAGCCACACCTCAAGTCCTTTTTTGTGCGTACCAGCGATCCCACGCACCTGAAACTCCTCAAGCTGGACATTCTCACCAATCTGGCCTCGGCGGCCAGTATATCGCTTATACTCCGTGAGTTCCAGACCTACATCTCCAGCAGCGATCGTTCCTTTGTGGCGGCCACTATTCAGGCAATTGGACGCTGTGCATCGAGCATTAAGGAGGTCACGGAGACCTGTCTCAGCGGCCTCGTTCACCTGCTCTCCAATCATGATGGTAAGTAGCTTGAATATTTCAATAGAAGTACTTGAACTGACATTCTGAACCCCCATTTCTTGTAGAGCATGTGGTGGCCGAGAGTGTGGTGGTGATTAAACGTCTCCTGCAAACCAAGGCTGCCGAACACTTTGAGATTATCACCCAAATGGCCAAGTTAATTGATTACATCAATGTTCCGGCGGCTCGGGCAGCAATCATCTGGCTTATCGGTGAGTACAATGAAAAGGTGCCTCTAATTGCCCCAGATGTGCTCCGAAAGATGGCCAAATCCTTTGTGGACGAGCAGGACGCTGTGAAACTGCAGGTTTTGAATCTAGGAGTCAAGCTGTACTTGACTAATCCGCAGCAGACATCGCTGCTTTGCCAGTATGTGTTCACGCTGGCCCGCTACGATCCGAACTACGATGTGCGTGATCGTGCCCGCTTCCTGCGCCAGATCATCTTCCCGGCCAGCGGGACGAACTCTGTGCTCAGTCAGCATGCCCGCCAGGTGTTTCTTGCTAGTAAACCGGCCCCAGTGCCAGAGAGCAAGTACCGTGATGGCAATAACTTCCAGCTGGGATCGCTCTCTCACTATCTGAACATGCCAGCGTCTGGCTACAAGGAACTGCCACCCTTTCCGGTCATTCCACCAGACTCATCCGTACGCAACATTCCCGGATTTATGCAGGAAAAACTGCCCGGCGACGGTTCTCCTTCGTCATCCCACTCTAAAGCCGCTTCGGGCAACGGTGGCGGTGGCAAGGTCAAGGATGCTAACCGCGAAAAGGGCTTCCTTTCCGAGTCGGAGGACAAGTCGTCCGCATACTCGGAATCTGGCAGCAGCAGTGGAAGCGGCACCAGCGACAGTGAATCTGATAGCGATGACAGCGGCAGCAGCGAGGCGGAGGAGGAGCAGGAGAAGCAATTAAAGCCGCCTGCAAAGGTTGCCTCCAAGGAGTCCGCCACAGTTCAGCTCATTGATGCCGGTGGTGGTAATGAGTCAGCGGAGGCAGAGACAAAAATGGAGGTGGATTCCTTGCCGGAGAAACCCACCACAAACAATAATAGTAACAGCCAGCCAGCTCCTGGTTATTCCGGCACATCAGACTCTGGTGATTCCTCATCGTATAGCGGCAGCAGTAGCAGCGATAGTGACTCCGCTGAAGAGGACAACGTAGCACAGCCGAAGGAACAGAAGAATCATTTGCAAGCTCAGCCCAAAAAGCTGGAGAAGGATGGTAAACAACCGGTGGCAGCGCCTTCCAAAAGCAATCTGGATCTACTGCTCGATTTGGATGACATTCCGCCCATTGGTCCTGTGATGACGCCCTCGCTAGGAGGATTCCTAACGCCTGGTGAGTATTATTTACAACATTTTTCCTGCTTGACTTCCTGCTCATTTGGTTCTTCCCCCCACTCAGGTACTCCCATGGTGGCTGGCCAGGCGACGCCTCTCCAGCCGCAACATGCTCGCAACCGGGTGGAACTGGTCGGGCCGTCACACATCGAGTTCAAGCACAAGGAGCTGCTCAATAAGGTGAGCGGCCATGGCCTGCAGTTGGGCTACCGCTTCACCCGCGCCCCGCATCTCTACTCCTCCAGCATGTGCTCGATTGAGCTGCAATTCCAGAATCGTGGCGAAAAGGAAATCACGGCCATACGCCTGGGTCAGACCACACTGCCGGCGGGCATGCAGCTGAATGAGTTTGCTCCGGTCACAGCCTTGCAGGCACAGCAAACGGCCAGCGGTGTGCTGGGCGTGGACTTCAACGATTCAACGCATGCCGTTGATTTGGAACTCATCTCCAGTGCGGGTAGCTCGCGGCTGCAATTGAAACCACCGGTGGGCGAGCTGGTGCGGTCCGTCCAGATTGGAGAGAGCTGTCACCGCGAGGAGCGGGCCAAGTTGCGTGGCATGAACGAGCATCAGTGTGAGCTGCGTGGCCTGAGGCGTGATCTAATCGATGTGTCTGCCCTGCGACAAAAGGTTTTCGAGTGCATAAATGTTGCGCATACGCACAGCTCTGCCAATGGCCAGTTGCATTGCTTTGCCGGCCAGACGCTCAGTTCGAAGAGCCTGGTCCTTCTCACCCTCAACTGGCAGACTGAGGAGGCCCTCACGCTGCTTGTCAACTGTGAGAAGATGGTCATTGGCTCCATGGTGCTGAACGAACTAAGGAATGCCCTGCAGCTGAGCTTCGCAATGTGAGCAGCACGAAATGAAGCGAGATGGCAGATGATGATGGAGAAGCCTTCCTTTTTCTTCTGCTCGTGCTCCTGCTTCTCAACTGAGAACAAAGCAAAGCTGGCGCCTCACTACGTAAATCTAAGCATTCATATTTTTAGCCAAAAAAACACACACATATACATATATATATACTGTAAGGGGTGCCCTCGTAAGGGGTGGCAAGATAATCTCTGAGATGTATAGAATCCTTGGATTTAACATTTAACTTTGTGCAATCTTTAAATGCAATAGCAACAAATTACTTTTTGGGCAATAATTGAATTTAATTCATTTTGTAAAAAGAAATGTACTTGAGAAATTCCTGTAACAAGTTAAACTCTAAACAGGACTTCATATTTAATTAACGTTTAATGTTCTAGCATTTTGTATTCCCCTAGATATTTTTGCAAATTTATTTATTAGAATTTAAATAACTTAGACAATTTTAAATGAGATATTGTTTGAGCACTTCTCCAGAGATTATTTTTGCGACCCCGTCGCCCTACATGAGAAAATCCATGATTCTAAACGCTTTTACTATTCCTATATACACAAAACACTATACAAAAATGAAAGCAAACTGCAATTTATGATTCCAAATCCCAGCCAGGCTCCTAATACCGATCAAATCCTTCCTAGTTAGCTATTTATATGCGTGCGTGTCCAGTGTGTGTGTGTGTGTGTGTCATGAGTAATCGAAACGTATTTGTAAAGTGTTTGATGTTGTAAATCTGTTGCCTTCGTGTGCTCTATGCGGCCTTCTTCAAATCGTAGCAAAGACAAACGAATATCGAATCTATATATATATATATTATACTATATTCATACCAATATACAGCGCAAAATCTGCAAAAGCTAAAACAGGAAAGAACGTAATAAGAAGATTAATAATAATAGCATTGATGATGATGAAATAATACCAAAATGTTAATAAATTCTCTATTTGCCTGAAAGAGAGATTTGAGTTGATACTGGAAATAAAGCTTACATTTTAAAGAAAAACTTCTTTTTTAATATACTTGTATTCAAAAATTACTTTAGACTCCTGTTAAAAGTCCCCTTTGGAACTTTCATAATTTAATCAAAACTAAATTTCCTTTTGTTTAAAAATTGCATTTTTAATTTTCATTAATAGTTTGCTTCAGTCCTAGTTTCCATTCGATTTTATTTATGTTTCTCCAACTCATCCTTGATATTTGTGAGGAGGGCCGAAAGTTTGGACACCTCTTCAACACAGGCACCAATGTCCTCATTGGATGCTTTGAGCTGTTGGAGTACCTCACTACCCGGTGGGCAATAGGTCGACAATACGACGCTGGCAAGCATGGCATTGACCAAGGAGCAAGAGAAATCGTTCAACTCCTTGTTGTTTGCTTCGATCTTCATTTGCAGTATCTCAATGTCCTCCTTAGTTGGTATCTTGACCACTGGTTGATCTCCAGATTCGTCAGTCCCCTCAGAGGTAGCTGTAATTATATTTATATTTTTATTAATATTATACATATATTAAACAACATTCCAACTTTTACTTACAGTTTTCTTCTGGTGGATTCGTCTTAAAAGCCATGTTCTTTCTGTGAGTAATAGTAGATAATCAACTTATTTATTTATATTTTCAGAAAAAGATGTTTAAATATAATAATATAAATATAACATTCAACTCTAATTGCACTTTGAGCTAATTTTGTTTTAATGTCAAATTTTGTACAGGAATGAACATGTTCGTTTTGTATTTGCTTCTTTTCGCACAACTTGTTCACAAATTACACGATTTTACAAAGATACATGTTCATATGTACGTACATATTTATTAATTTATTCATTTATAAAATGCAACCGTGTGTTTTTTAACCTTTTATTTTATTATTGTAAATAGCTCAACATGCAAATCTTTAATTAATGGCATTTGTTAAAGGTTTTGGCATGCGGCAGCCTATGGCCATAAAACGCTAATGCCTAGACACTTTTCATTAAGTTGTGCACATCAATTAATTAATAATCACTTGCTTATTAACGTTAAAAACTCACCTGATTAAATTCTTTGGGAAAAGACCAAAAAAAAACTAACTAAAAAAGCGTCTTCACGGCAAGGCAGGCAAAATGCAAGTGAAGTGGAATGGGAAGAAGTGAAACGACGCCAAAATGTCTCCTGACGCGTGCCAGGTATACTCGACCCTAGGACTACCTCTTTTTAAAAACTTTACAGACAATAGTTAAATTAGTTTATAAATTTACTATATAATTAATAGTTTTATAGCGAACCTTTAATATCTGCTAAAACGTAAAACCATGAAATTTTTAAATAGAATTAATATTTAATGTTCCGTGTTAACATTTATTAAAAAGGGTATTCAGTAGTATACATATACCATATGTTTATCTTTGCTTTGACACTGAACTTCTTCTCATTGTTCCCATCTGTTCCATTTTTGGTGCTGCCATTGCATTTTTCTTTAAAAACAATAACAAATATGCAGTTTCAATTCCAATTCCAGAATAAGACTGTCCATCTGCGATTTTAAGCCATTTTTATTTAAACAACACAAAAATGTAATTAATTTAAATTTTATAAGGGGTTACATCTTTTAAATTTAAAATAGAGTAAACACCTAGCAGTTTCCCAACAAATCCCAATGCCATCATGTTTCCCCAACGGTTTGAAACTAGGAGTTGCTTGGAAGTGTCCAGCTAATATTTGCTGGATCCTCTCTCTCTCACCCACAAACACCGACGCCTTCCAGTACCACCTTTTAGCATCTCCCGGTCGTCTTCGTAAATCAGTTCTCCCGAAGCAGCCGGCCGGCGTGACAGTACCATCGAATCCACGGAAAGGCGATCGCAGCGGTCATTAAATCAAAGTGCGCGGAAAAAAACGGCGAAACAACAAGTATGAAAAGTCGCGGAAATCAGTGCAAAATGTGTGTGAAGTGAGGGCAAAGCCAGGAGCAGCCCCACAACCAAAACCGAGCCGCTGTCGTTTGTGTGTGTGTTATTTTTTCAATGTAAAGTATGTAAATTGCCAAGATCCGCGCTTTTTCTTTGGCTAGTTAATATTGTTTTGTTATTTGTATGTGCAAATGCAACACCTGCAAGTGTGGAACAATTGCAAGTGTCCCACAAATGCAAGTGTTTAACAAATTTAATGCGCAATAAGATTTTTTCGTTCTTTTGTGCGTGTGCTTTTTCCATTCTTCGTCCGTTGGGATCTAAAGCAACAACAATTGTGAGAGGGTGAGTGAGACAAAACTATATTATTTTTTCTTGTATGCTAGGTTTGCACTTGCTTCGCGCGCACATTTTTTTTTTTCGCTTGCCCCTGAATATTCACCGAGTAGAAAGTCCCGTTACTGGCATTCCTTGCTCTCGCACTGAAAATGGAAACCAAGAGCGGGAGAGAGCCGCGTTCTCAGAATACGCTACACTCTTTTGGGTGGCAATTTTGATATTTGGAAGCTGCTGCCTTTGTTTACCTTTTTGTGTTAGGCAATTTATGAATCATAAAAAGAACTAAATTGAGCGAATCTTAATGAAACTCAACTTATATGATTTTAAATAATGTCTTCGATCAAATTTATTGATTCATTTTTATTGCGGCATGCCAAAGTTAACTTGATTTTTTGTTACATCCTTGCAGGGCATTAAATATTGTCGGAAATTTCTCTTTTAATTCATAACAAACTTCTTACTAAATTTATAATACCTTGCAAGGGTGAAATTTGTGGTAATCCAAGTTTTATAATCCAAGTCTAATTTTATTTTATTATTTATTGATTTATTTCTTTACTTAATTTTTTTTTTATTTTTTATCGAACCCAATTAGGAATTTAATATTCAAGCCTATCACCTACACATCAAATACCATTCAGAGCATGTTTCCCCACCGGTTCGAAACTAGGAGTTGCTTGGAAGTGTCCAGCTAATATTTGCTGAATCCTCTCTCTCTCTCCCTCACAAACACCGACGCCTTCCAGTATCACCTTTTTGCCTCTCCCGGTGGTCTTCGTAAATCAGTTCTCCAGAAGCAGCCGGCCGGCGTGACAGTACTATCGAATCCACGGAAAGGCGATCGCAGCGGTCATTAAATCAAAGTGCGCGGAAAAAAAACGGCGAAACAACAAGTATGAAAAGTCGCGGAAATCAGTGCAAAATGTGTGTGAAGTGAGGGCAAAGCCAGGAGCAGCCCCACAACCAAAACCGAGCCGCTGTCGTTTGTGTGTGTGTTATTTTTTCAATGTAAAGTATGTAAATTGCCAAGATCCGCGCTTTTTCTTTGGCTAGTTAATATTGTTTTGTTATTTGTATGTGCAAATGCAACACCTGCAAGTGTGGAACAATTGCAAGTGTCCCACAAATGCAAGTGTTTAACAAATTTAATGCGCAATAAGATTTTTTCGTTCTTTTGTGCGTGTGCTTTTTCCATTCTTCGTCCGTTGGGATCTGCAGCAACAACAATTGTGAGAGGGTGAGTGAGAAAAACTATATTCTTTTTTCTTGTACGCTAGGTTTGCACTTGCTTCGCGCGCACATTTTTTTTTTTCGCTTGCCCCTGAATATTCACCGAGTAGAAAGTCCCGTTACTGGCATTCCTTGCTCTCGCACTGAAAATGGAAACCAAGAGCGGGAGAGAGTCGCTCTCTCAGAATACGCTACACTCTTGTGGGTGGCAATTTTGATATTTGGAAGCTGCTGCCTTTGTTTACCTTTTTGTGTTAGACAATTTATGGGTTATAAATAGAACTAAATTAAGCGAATCTTAATGAAACTCAACTTTTAAATAATGTTTTCGATGAAATTGATTGATTGAATTTTACCTTTTATTTCGGCATGCCGAAGTTTTTGTTACATCCTTGCAGGGTATTATATATTCTTGAAAATTACTCTTTTGATTCATAACAAACTTCTTGCTAAATTTATAATACCTTGCAAGGGTGAAATTTGTGGTAACCCAAGTTAGATTCTTCTAAATTTATTTTATTATTTATTGATTTATTTATTTACTGATTTAATTTATTTTAATCGAACCCAATTAGGAAAATAATATCCAAGCCTAACACCCACACATCAAATACCATTCAGAGCATGTTTCCCCACCGGTTCGAAACTAGGAGTTGCTTGGAAGCGTCCAGCTAATATTAGCAACAGCTAGATCCTCTCTCTCTCCCCCACAAAAATCGCCAAAACATTGCCGCCTTCCAGTAACGCCAAGTAACCTCTCTCGGTGGTCTTCGTAAATCAGTTCTTCCGAAGCAGCCGGCCGGCGTGACAGTACCACCAAATCACCGGAAAAGCGATCGCGGCTTCATTAAATCAAAGTACGCGGAACAATACGGCGGAAGAAAAGTGAAAACAAGTGTGAGAAGTCGCGAAAATCAGTGAGCTCGAGCAGTGAAGTGGGTGCACAGCCACGAGCAGCCCCACAACCAAAGCCGAATAACTGCAAGTCTTCAACAAATTTAACTGCGCAATAAGAAGGTTTTTACCTATCTTTTGTGCGTGTGCTTCGTGCATCGTCGCCCGTTGGGATCTGCAGCAGCAACAATTGTAAGCGGGTGAGTGAGACAAAACTATATTCTTTTTGCGTGTATGCTACGTTTACACTTGCTTCGCGCTCGCATTTTTTTCTTCGCTTGTCCCTGAATATTTACCGAGTAGAAAGTCCCGTTACTGGCATTCCTTGCTCTCGCACTGAAAATGGAAACCAAGAGCGGGAGAGAGTCGCTCTCTCAGAATACGCTACACTCTTGTGGGTGGCAATTTTGATATTTGGAAGCTGCTGCCTTTGTTTACCTTTTTGTGTTAGGCAATTTATGAATCATAAAAAGAACTAAATTGAGCTAATCTTAATAAAACTCAACTTATATGATTTCTTAAATAATGTTTTCGATCATATTAATTGATTGATTTTTATTGCGGCATGCCAAAGTTAACTTGATTTTTTGTTACATCCTTGCAGGGCATTAAATATTGTCGGAAATTTCTCTTTTAATTCATAACGAACTTCTTACTAAATTTATAATACCTTGCAAGGGTGAAATTTGTGGTAACCCAAGTTAGATTCTTCTAAATTATTTTATTATTTATTGATTTATTTATTTACTGATTTAATTTATTTTAATCGAACCCAATTAGGAAAGTAATATCCAAGCCTAACACCCTCACATCAAATACCATTCAGAGCATGTTTCCCCACCGGTTCGAAACTAGGAGTTGCTTGGAAGCGTCCAGCTAATATTAGCAACAGCTAGATCCTCTCTCTCTCCCCCACAAAAATCGCCGAAACATTGCCGCCTTCCAGTAACGCCAAGTGACCTCTCTCGGTGGTCTTCGTAAATCAGTTCTTCCGAAGCAGCCGGCCGGCGTGACAGTACCACCAAATCACCGGAAAGGCGATCGCGGCTTCATTAAATCAAAGTACGCGGAACAATACGGCGGAAGAAAAGTGAAAACAAGTGTGAGAAGTCGCGGAAATTAGTGAGCCCGAGCAGTGAAGTGGGTGCAAAGCCACGAGCAGCCCCACAACCAAAGCCGAATAACTGCAAGTCTTCAACAAATTTAACTGCGCAATAAGAAGGTTTTTACCTGTCTTTTGTGCGTGTGCTTCGTGCATCGTTGCCCGTTGGGATCTGCAGCAGCAACAATTGTAAGCGGGTGAGTGAGACAAAACTATATTCTTTTTGCGTGTATGCTACGTTTACACTTGCTTCGCGCTCGCATTTTTTTCTTCGCTTGTCCCTGAATATTTACCGAGTAGGAAGCCCCGTTACTGGCATTCCTTGCTCCCGCACTGAAAATGGAAACCAAGAGCGGGAGAGAGTCGCTCTCTCAGAATACGCTACACTCTTGTGGGTGGCAATTTTGATATTTGGAAGCTGCTGCCTTTGTTTACCTTTTTGTGTTAGGCAATTTATGGATTATAAATAGAACTAAATTAAGCGAATCTTAATGAAGCTCAACTTTTAAATAATGTTTTCGATGAAATTGATTGATTGAATTTTACCTTTTATTTCGGAATGCCGAAGTTTTTGTTACACCCTTGCAGGGTATTATATATTGTTGAAAATTACTCTTTTGATTCATAACAAACTTCTTGCTAAATTTATAATACCTTGCAAGGGTGAAATTTGTGGTAACCCAAGTTAGTTTCTTCTATATTTATTTTTTTTATTTATTGATTTATTTATTTAGTGCGTGTGCTTTGTCCATCCTTCGTCGGTTCGGATTTTCAGCAACAATTGTAAGCGGGTGAGTGAGACAAATCTATATTCTTTTTTCTTTTATGCTTGCCCCTGAATATTTACACACATCGAAGGAGTCATTTCCGCCCCTATAAACCATATATATTCTTGATCAGCACGAAAAGGCGATTCAATCTTGCCATCTCCTGCAGAAAAAATTAGTTTTATGAATTTTTTGAAAATTTTATAAGGGGTTACATCGTAAATTTTTTGTAAAAATTTATAAAAATTTGAATTAAAAAAATTTATATTAAGTATGCAGATTTGTAAATCCTATAAATTAAAGCAATTTTGGTTATGAGTTTTTAAACTTTAATTTCTTTAAGAAAGTTAATATACAAATATATAGATTTTAAGTCCCTAGAATGACCATTTTATACATACATATGTAGGTGTGATATATTTGGCTTCCTTTCTTGCTCTCTTTTACTATCTATTTTTATTGATATTACTTACTACATACTTTTACTCACCTAGAGAATATACCTTATCAAAATTTAGTCATTAACTGCTTTAATTTAAAGCATGCTGGAATTTTCCTATTGGAACTCCATTTTGGTTTCAACTTCTTTGTTACAATGTCATCCTTTTTGGGTAATAATTAATTAAAAAGACTTATTTTTGTGTAGTTTTCAATTATTTTGATGTTTATTCACGCTCTTGTTCTTCGTACTTTCTCCACTCACCGAAAACTGAATATAAGAAGTCAGGAACAGCAACATGTGTTTACAAATCTATCAATTTCCTTTGTTCCTGAATACTATATATTGCTCTTTACAGGAATTATACACTTAATGTTGCTGTTGCCATAAATTTGGGGACATTTAAATTAGATTAATAGAAAGGGTCACACAGGCTTGGAACATACAAAAAACTCATTCTCAAATCCTAAGCTGCTTTCTCTCTGTGGGTTAGGTGTGGGTGTTAGGTGTTTGGTGTTGGTGTTTGTTGTTGGTGTAGGTGTGTGTTCTATATAAGTGTTGGGTTTCTGCACAATTTAAAAAGCTCAATTTGTGTTTAGGCTTATCGTATAAACGAGTTAGTTTAGATCGCTAGGTTAGTTAATTGGTTTAGTTTAGTTTTGGATTCGCTGCTGCTGCACTCTGGCTTGGCTTTGATTCAAGTTAGTTTAGTTAGTAGTTGTAGTTAGAGTCGGTTAGGCTAGGCTTTAATTAAGATAATTAACTGGTTGGAAAGATCCGGAGCGGGGTGGGGCGGGGCTTGATACATACATAAGGTGAAGAAATGGGGGCGGTGGTGGTAAGAGGGCGTGAAATGTGTGTTCCCCAAAAGCAATGGGTCTACAAGGCGAATGAGTAATAGTTTTTCCTTAGGCATTTTTTCGTTTTTTTGTAGATAGCATGTATGTATGTATGTGCTACATAGGTATGTATGTATATATGGCATATGGTAAATGGTAAATGGTATATGGTATATGGATTTGTGAATAGTTTGACATAGGCATAGATAGTGTCTTGGGGGGTAGTATCGTTCTCTTCTTCTGCTCCTGTATATACTCTTCATATAATATATGCCTTCCTTCATTTACTTAACTTCATATAAAACTAGTTGTTTTTGTATGTTTTTTTTTTTTTTTTTTTTTAGTTTTTTTCTTCCCTTTTTAAATGTATATCGATTTTATGCAGTATGTGTGTATGTCTAAGGATGATTTTCAATCACTTATTGTTACGTACGGTGTTTGGTATAACATGCTTCGCTTGGACTAGCTCGATGGCCTTCTACTTCATCCTTCAATTGTATTTCTCCTTTTCTCCACTCCTCCATTTGTCTATCTTTCTCTTTTCGTCCTTTTAATCCTGCTTCCTCATCGAATCTCTTACTTTAATAACATATAAAGCATTTGGTTTTTGGTTTTGTGGTTTTTTCGTTTCTTTGTTGGTTTGTTTTCGTTTCAAGCTACGAAATACTTATCGCTTAACGATTCGCCCGATTTGGTATCGAAAATATCCTTTTGATATCGATAGTTTTGTCGATAGGCGGCGAAGCGAAGCAGTGAGCGGAGCGGAAACGGGGCCTAAAACGGACGGATTGGTGCCGTTAGTTAATCCAACGGTCTACCATTCGATGCCTGCTGTTGTTAGTGTTTTAGTTTAAGTTTTAGTTTCTCTCCTACTCCTTGTCTTCTTCTCCCTCTTCCTTTTTCTTTTGTTTCTTGTTTTTTTGTTGTTTTTTTTTTTGTTTTTTTTTTTTTATCGTTTAAAGTTATCGTTATGCTTTAAATATTAGCCTGAGGTGCTCCGAATCGAGATCAGTTGTGAGTCCTAGAGCAACTAACCTAGGTATATATCCTTTTTTCTGTTTCTTTTCGCCGTTTCTCCTTGCCTTTATTTGTTATTATTTTTTGTTTTGATTACGCCATTATGCTGTTATATATGCAATATATATATTGAGAGAGAGCTCTGGGCACACTGTTATTCACCGTTATTTACTTCTCTGTACCTTGCCTATTGCAAATGTGTTTGTGTGTGTGTCTGTGAATTAATGTGGCCATATATATTTTTGTTTTAGAAATAGTCCAGTAGCACCGGGTATTATTCATCATCTCTTTCTTTTGTTTTTCTGTTTCGTTCTGTTTTGCTTATTTTTTTTTTGCTTTCTGCTTCTATTTTGGACTTTGCTTAGTGGGTTAAACTGCAGCTCCGTCTAAGGCCGCGGTGCTTAGAGCTTCTTGTACCAGTACAGATAGTGCTCACCATCCTCCACCATTAGCTCGTCCACACCTAAAAGCAAGAGAGATAGAAATATTGTAATATTTTTTGGTTTCAAATCGAAATTAAGCTTTTAAAAGTTATCTTTTTAGATCCTTGGAGTTTTTAGAAAAAATCTGATTATAATTAATCAAAATAATTGGATGAGAAAGTACCGATTACTAAACAAGGATTTCGTAGAAGATATGTGTGAATATATATCCTTATATCTAAATAACTAACTAGGAAGTCTATTAGATTTGAAGGCAATAATGTCTCGAATATATGTGAAAAGTTATGGGTTATAAATCTCCTGATTTTATGATAAAATTATAAAGTAAATACATAAATTATACAATTTATCAATCTTAAATCCAACTATATATCAAGGAAAGCCTCTTTTATCTTCGAAGACACAACGTCACAGGTACATAAGGTCATTATAAACTTACCAACAGGCGCAATAAGCTGATTCCCGGGTGTATTATTGGGATCGGGCAGTTCTGGCAGCCGATAGAGTAACCAGTAGTGATACCTAAATAATTAGTTACAAATTTATCCATAATAATCCAAGCTTTAGTTAATCATTATTTGATAAAGTGCTCACCCTCGCGGCTCCTCCTTCTTGCCATACAGAGTGTGAACATAGTGGCCATTGGGCCATTCCCGCGCCTCGAAAATGAATCTGTTTAGGATAAAACCCATGATTAGTCAACTCATAGATAGGAAAATTAATATCTTAATCCTCACCTGGGATCCATTTCGGCGGCCTGGGTCATGGCCTTGAAAAAGCTGGTGTTTTTGGGCGAAACAAGTGACAGGGAGAAGGCCTCGGTTACATTGGAGCCCACCCACAACGTGTACGTATAGGAGATATTCTTGGCATCCGATTCCTCGGCAGAGGAGCTCAGGCCAAAGGGCACAGCCAGCTTGGGTTCACCATTCTCTGCAAGCACATAAAAATCACCATTTAAGAAGGCTTTTCAAGCCAAGAAGTTAAATCAGGACTCTCACCCGTGGGATCACTGCTCTCACGTATCACATGGTCGCATTGCAATGCCCGCACTGCACCCAATCCCTTCCAGCCCAGAGCTAGGATAATGTCAGCCGTAAGGCCAACACCAATATCCGGCTCCTGGCCATCCTGCAGCGGCTCTTCGCTCCATCCTCCATCCGCTCGCTGCCGGCTAAGAATATAGCGCGAGGCAGCGGTGCGATTCCAATGACCAGCCGGATCATATTCCAGATCCTGCAAAGCCTGCATGGCCAGGGCTGTGCTGCGTAGCGATCCAAAGCTACCGCGTTGATCCTGTAGGCTGGCCAAACCCCGGGCCGGCCGACGAACAAAGTGCTGCAGATGCCGATGGCGGTGATCGGTGACAATGCAACGCAATGCCAGAATGACCATTGCAATGGCATCGACACTCTGATCCGTCACACCGCTGGCAATATCCAAGAGGCGTCGTATTTGACGTTTTCTCACATGCGCCGCCGAACTGCAGGCGGAGAGCGTGGTTAGCGCAAACTCAATGTCCTGTGCAGGCTCATGATGCTGCAAGGTGGCCACCAGATCGTGGCCATGGAAATGCTTCGGATCCTTGCACAGCGAACCCAAAGCTAGAACATAGCGTGCCAGTTTGTCCAAATCGAGGGGCTTGGGCAGCGTATGATGGCGATCCAGCATGGCCAGAATTTCAATCTCCATTTCCTTTACCGACAGCGTGTCCTCCAGCTCTTGGATCACCTGCACATGCCCATCGACGCTGTCATTGGGATCCCGTCCGCCGGATAGCTCTTTGGCCAGTATAACCACATGGGTGTCATTGCCCCAGCCATAGTCCGAGGCACGTTTTTCCTTTAGCCAGTCTAAAGCTCGCAGTATAGCCTCCTGCTCTCCCTTTGTGGGCGGTGCCTGACCAATAGTCTGATGCTCTGGCAGCGTACTGCCATTAATGGCCGTGGGCGTGGCCAGGACAAGACCATCCTGGGTGTCAGCTCCTGCTAATAAAGTTGTGCTGGAGATGGGATTGCTGCTGCTGCTGTTTATGTTGCTCATGGCACTGGAGCTGCTCGTTTGGCTCATGTTGCTGCTATTGTTGCTAGTGTTGCCAGTGCTGGTGGTCTGCTCATCGCTGGCATCGTTGTTGTAGGATGTTCCTAGGCTGCTCAGGTTGCCCAAATTCCCAGTTTGACTGCTCACATTGCTGTTGCTGCTGCTGCTGCTCCCCTGGGAGTTGCTGGGGTTATCGTAGTCACCCAGTGTCTTCTCCGGCACCGATAATATGGGTCTATCGGTGATGGGTGCCGTTGCAGCCGATGAGGATGAGGGCAGCGCCGTTAGCGTCGCATTCTCCCCTGCAAGCAAAGCGGAGGAGGAGCGATCCGCTTCCGAAATGTCTGAGCCAAGGACGCACAGAAAGAGCAGGAATAGCGATGGAGGCGGTGGCAGCGATGATAGGGACAACATCCTGGCTGGGGTTCTGAAATAGGAAGGATACGGGATTAGTAGTAGTTTAATTTTCTGTAGGACTCCTTTTAATACAGAGAACTCCCTAGTACTTAAATTAATTACTAATTATAGATTAAGCTATACAAAAAACTTGTATCGATTTATAATCGATTTGACATGCAATTTTTATCGTTTCCTGAGCTATGCTTGCGTGGTTGCGCAGGATGCAAAAGGATGAGCACGAAAGGAGGAGACACTTTTACAAGAGGCGTTGCCTTGAACTCAATTTGCAACTCAGCCTGGCTTAGCTCAGTTCAGCTCACGTCATGCAACTTATCGATAATTGCGATCGATATGCGAGCAAGCGCCGACAACAGTATGTCCTGCCTTCCCTCCCTACAAAAAAAAAGGTCCTTAAAAGCCATCGCCCCCCCGTATGCCGCCTCTCGACGACAGCCGCCACACTTAGTCATCAAATCAAATAAATGCAACAGCAACAAAGATTCCGTGTCCGTGTCCGAGTCCTGCCTTGTGTCTGCTATTTTGCTGTTGCTTTAGTGTTGGGGTAGTTCCTGCGGATGAGGGTGGCGGGGGCGTGGCAGGACCCCGTTCAATTGCCTTTGACAATATGGACTTTATTGCGGGGACACAACACAAACAACACACACTCGTTCGGGTGGGGAGGGGGCTTACATAATAATAATACGGGCGACAACAAAGCTCCAGCTGCCGCAAAAGGATATCGTCCTGGAGAATCACTCTCTATATTTAATAGATATATATATATATCACTTTATCTATGTGCACGCCAAACGCCGATGTGCGTAATCCGAAGCTCAGCCCGTCTTTTCGCTTTTGTCTTTGTTCGATTTTGCAAGCAATTAATTCCGTTTCAGTTGCAGGACACACAATAAACCGGATCTTCTTGACTTGATTTCAGGCAATTCCTATGAACTTTGTTCAGTTATTTCTCGAAGTAAAACTGTGCAAACTTTGTGTGGTTCTTTTCCGTTTTCTTTCTCGTATTTTTTTTGTGGTAATTTTTGCGACGACGACGAGGACGACGACGGTCGAAACGGGGAAAACGTGACTGGGCTCAGGGGGCTGCCACTGCGGTGTGAACAGGTGAGGCTAGGATATGTGCAACATCTGGCAGCACTCTGAATTGGATTTTGTTTGAGGTTCGGAACTAGGATAAGTTGGGGTTCCCGGTTGCCCCGCCAGATGGCGCTTGTGGGCTGCTGCCATGAGCTAAGAACAGGTTTGTTATAGGTTTGAATTTGTAGCGGGAAAGTGATGAATTCCAGTTCTTTGAAGCATACAAAAAATATTTGTTTTGCTTGGGTTTAATTATATACAAATAAATCATAATTATTTAATTAATACATCAAGTATTAAAAAACTCATAATAAAGCCAAAAATGCATTAATTTTAATTCGGAAAGCAGTTCTATGTTTGTTTTTGTTAGTTTAATAAATCTGCGTTCTTAATTAAAAAAATAAAATTTGTGTAAATTTTTTTAAGTTTTAAAGATGTAATCCCTTATAAAATTTTGAAAAAATTAGCAAATTTTTTTTTCCCCCGGAGATGGCCAGATCGATTCGCCTGTTAATGCTGATCAAGAATATATATGATTTATAGGGTCGGAAACGTCAACTTCTCATTGGTTTAAGCTTCTGACTACAAATATAATACTCTGAAAGGACAAGTGAATTAGAGAGTTAACTCATTAATAAACGAATAAATGAAAGGATAAGTGAATAAACAGCTTAATCAACGAACTAATAAATAGATAAATGGAAGGATAAATTAACCTAAATAAGAACCAATAAATTAATAAACCAGATATACCAAAACAAATCCTCAAGCAAACAGATGGATATGGCTATATTCACCAAATATATATATATATAGTCCGAATAAGTCATATCCTTTCTTGCACTACGATTACTAGGCTATTTGGAGATTATATCAATGGAAAGTCGAGGGGAAAACGCAACGTAGGCGACTGTAGGCGTGGCTCTGGCGTTGGTTTTATTTTTATTTGTTACATATATTTTGTATTTTATTGAGGGGTTTGGGTAACGCTTCAATGGCTGCATTTTGACAGCGTTAAAAGGTTGCCATCGATTTGGGCGCTGCTCGCTTTTAAACAACGCGATAAATAAAAATTCCTCTTTCTTTTAGAACATAGTGTTTCCACTTAGCAGGGTATAGTTCCATATATAAGCCAGATATCGGAGGGTATATGTGCTTACTTGCTGTGTCACTGATCTGTGACATACATATGTAGGTGCGGCAGTGGCGGTTGAGTTGAGTTTTGAGCTTAAAAAAATAAAAAAAGGGGCACAAATTTGAAAATCAGTTAACGGTCAATTTGGTGGCTAGCCGCAAAAGAACCAAAAAATAATGCGATGCCCCTTGGTGTGGCATTGTATTTGCCAGAAATGGAATCAAAATTAAAACAGCAAAACGTTCTACTTTGCCTTGTTTAAAATGTCCTAAACTTATATATAAATTTATTTACCTCTTTGTTTCTGTTAATGCCCAGAATTGAGGGTGACATGTTGTCCATTAGCCCAGTGAGCGATTCCCTGGACTAGCTGGAAAATATGTAATCTGATATAGTTATGTTTCGGCCGCAAAAGCCGACAATCACAAATGCCGCCGCCGACGACGACGGCCGGCGGACGACGACCGCCAACTGTCGACGCCAAATGGTCGCCGCTCCTGCTCTCCCCTGTCCCCTATACACATATAATATATATATATGTTATCCTGATTCCTGATTCCTGATCCGACTCCGACTCTGATGATTGCCTATCGTTTTCGCGAGCAATTAAAAGAACAAGCAACCGTATCGGTTACCTTTTCTGCCTCAAATGAAATCTATATGGGGAATCCGAAGCTGAATTTGTATTTTGAATTCAGGAGGAGGAGCAGAAGGAGCAGAAGGAGGAGGAGGAGGATCAGGAGCAGGAGCGGCAGTGAACAAAGAAAGGAAGTCCGCGAGTCCTGCGACGATCCCATTGTGCAGTTATGACAGGCGTCCCCCTTGTTTTAAGCCTGCCCAGATTTCTTGTCAGGACATAGGGTCGGGGAAAAAGGTTAGCAAATTGTAGGTAATTTCAGTTGAAAACTTCCTCTTTTATTTTTTTTTTATATATCTTAGTTTGAAAAAATATTTACAAAATATTATAAGAAGCCTAAAGATACTGGAGCTTTTTATTTAAATATTTAGGAAATATTCAAAGTAGTCTGAATATACTTGGGTGTCTTATATTTAAAGATATATTTAAGATATTTGATAAAAATATATATTTCGAATATATTTAAAAACAAAAAAAGAAACTTTAGAAAGCAGAAGGTTATATTCCCCTGCAGTTTTCAATTGAATTAAGGGATATCGAAAAAACTGATAACTCCGTCAAAAAGGCATTAATTTTAATTTGAAAAGCAGTCCTATGTTAGTTTTTGTTAGGTTAATAAATCTGCATACTCAGTTCAAAATGTAAAATTTTGGCGGATTTTTGCAAATTTTAATGATGTAACCCCTTATAAAATTTAAAAAAAATTATAAAAATTTTGTTTTCTTCCGGAGATAGCTAAAAAGGTTCGCCTTTTGATTCTGATCAAGAATATATATAATTTATGGGGTCGGAAATGATTCCTTCACTATTTTACAAGCTTCTGAGTGAAATAATGATATCCTTGCAAGGGGTATAAATATTTTTGTAAGCAGAGTATACTGGTTTTTCTCCTTGGGTGTATACTTCTAAAGCCTAAAGTCGGCCACTTCAAAGCCGCGGGCCCTGAGCTTTTGTCAAATTATTCGGACGGCTGAAGGTCTGCTACTCTCAGTGCTCAGTTCTTCTTCACAATCCTTAAATCTTACTCCCTATTCCCACTGTTTACTACCCACTCCTTATTCCCTATTTCGCCCATCCTTAGTCCTTTTCCCTATCCCTATCCCGCATATCTTTAACCCAAAACTTCTGCGGGTTGGGTCCTTTGGCGACTTTCTGAATGAGCGACAGCTGGCGCAACACCTTGTGGCGATGTCCTTTCTTAGGTAGGAGCAGGAGCAGAAGTAGGCTTAGGAGGTTGCTTTTAGAACCACGCACAATTGCCTCTTATTCCTGTAATCCTTGGACAACTCTTTCGATCTTTCTGACTATCTAAAAGCGGCAATCGCAGCTACTTAGCTTCTCGGCTTAGTTTTAATCGTTAGATGGATGGGAGAGATGATAGATGCCGGCTTGATCTTGAGCCCTTAGAGCGCATCCTTGGCAATTGTCTGTTTCCGCTGCCGCAAGGACTCAAGGAGGCTGCACCTTCCACTGTTTGCTTATCGAGCTACTGGGATCTCCCCAACAAAAATAAAGGAAATAAAGAAATCGAGGCTAGGCATGGCGAGGGAGTGATCCTTTTGGTGATCCCTGCGCAATATTTGGCAACCCAATTACTTTGTTTGCTTAGCCGACAAACTGTTTATTCAAGAGGATACAGCGAAACCAGCGATCCTGCGATCCTACTATCCTGCGATCCTTTCCCCGAACAATAGATCCATACAGCCTTGAGCTATTATCCTTCAAACTTCACGTTTTTTTTTCATTTCTTTTTTTTTGCGCAATCGAAACAATTGTTGAGATTTTTCCAGGGGCGCAACAACCGATCGCTTAATTTAGATCGAGATGGAAATGGAAAAGCGGCAGTTGTAATTGCAATTCAACCGAAATAGACAGTAGGATAAATAGAGTCTGATAAAAATAGGAGAGCCTCCTCTACCGGTTACCTACAATGGGAAAAACAAAACAAAATAAAGGAAATATACACGCTTGATTTGAATGGATTACACCCTGAGCGGGGTTGCCTCTGATTTATATATATATTTCTCTATTGTTTTGTTTGATTACATAATCTTATTTAAAATTTGCGTGTATATATGTTAGAAGAAAAAGGGTGCTATTTTGAAATTAGTCAAGGGTGTAGTTTATTTTCGAAAAAATCTTGTTTTTAGGGAATTTGTTTGAACGGGTTAGAAATTTATATAAAGAATGTTGGGGCCTTTTTCTTTTTGTTTTATTTAAATGTTAAGGCTATTATGGTGTATTAAAGGGTATCATAATATTCTAAATGTGCTATAAAATATTATATTCCTAATTTTAAAGCACAAAAGGGCAATAAATGCCTTTAAAGGGTTATAAAATCTGATTGAAAGTCACTTTTAAGCGAATAAATTCTTGTAGCTTTAAGTTTTCCTACTTTCTACTCTTAATTTTAATATATTACAGACTAAATATATACAAACATATATATTCACAATATTTTTAAACCATTTTCAAACATATTTTCTAAAAAATGTGATCCAATTTCTTGCATTTTTGTTTCCCGTACTTTTTGATTAAACCCAAACCCAAAAAGAAATTGTGGTATTTACTTTCAATTGTTCGCACTCGGCATGAATTTCCCTAAAGATTTTTGAAAGTGGTTTTCCCTTGAGAATTTTGCGTCACCATGACGCTAGCCAACCATTTTCCAAGAGGGCGTTTTTCCACCTGACGAAGGACGCCGGTGGGAAATCTCATTAAATGAAATTCGATGATTCCGCCGATTCCATATCCAGAGCTGACCCATCAATAGACCACTGCATCAACTTTATTTACGTGCCAGAAGAGGGATAGAAAGAGGTAGATAGATACAGAGAGGGAGAGAGGTAAAGAGGTAGAGGAAAAGTTCAAAGGGAAAACCAGTGGAAAGCCAGGCGACCGTTTCTTATATTTCAGTTTCTTTTCTACGTTTTTCTTGTGCGTTTTTTTTTTGCGCACAGGATGAAACCCGGACACGGACACGGTCATGGGTTTGGGGTATGATATGGTGGGCAGGACGAAGGAGCAGGAAGGCCTTTTTTGGGTTGTCATAGCAACGCAGCTAACGCGTCACTTTACGTGTCGAATCCGGGTGTTGGCAGCCATATTTGCTCTTATAGCGCTTTACTTTGCCTCGCTTTTTGCCAACGGAACGGAAGAACCCTCCCCTGTGTATATATAGTCCATGAATTTATATATATATATATATGTAGTATATATATAT